TCATAAGGAATTTAACCTTTTCAAACCCCCCTGCCCCCCGGGCCCTCTTTTCAATGCTTTGTCTCCTGGAGCACCAACCACATACACTGTTAACATTAAGAAATTTTAACTCTGTTGGATGATACCTCTACAGCCTGTAGAGAAATGCTTGTCTCCTTCAGCGAGGGTTATGATTTTTCACATTGGGCAAGTTGTTTCTAACTTGACATTTTGAGCCTGGATAATTGACATAAAATATTATTTGAAGGCCCTTGCTAGCAGCTGCAGAGTAATGCACTTGTCTGTGCACAGAAAAAAAATCACCAAATTCTTGTGACTTTACACTATATAACTAAAGCTAACTTATGGCAAATAGGCCCTGATCTATACTACAACTTTAGGTTGGTGTACGTTGCCTTTTGTCAACCTGTTTTGTGCATGTGTCTATGCTCAGATTTGTCTCTGGCAGACATAAGCACCTAATTATTGCAATGCAGTAAAACTACCTGCCTGAACAGTGTAGAGAAATGGGTGATCTACTGAGTGTGCACGTACATGCTGCATGATGTGTATTGACCCTAACAGTGCTCTAGGACCTGTCCCATAATGCACTGTTTGCTGCAACAGTCACAGCTCTTGTAACAGCTGTAAATTCCACTGCCCAGGGGTCACAGCTACTGAAAGCCCCACCAACTTTGAAGTCACCTATGTATTTTTGAAATGCCTTTTCCTGATTGTCTACCTTGGTGAACATGTCTAGGAACTCTCCCTTGTTATGTGTAACTAGCCAGCCGACCAGACTGGCTCAACACACCGGACATGCTCTTGCTTGGAGTATACAAGAGATATTGGGTCTCGTGGGACTATAGGGAGAAGAGGCCGTGCAAGCACAGCTATGGACCACCCGTAGAAATGTGGACATCTATGAGCAAATTGCATGGGGAATGCAGGCAAAAGGATGCAACAGGAATCAGAAATAGTGCTGAAGGAAAGCGAAGGAAGTGCAGTTGGCATGCTACGAGACAAGGGAGGCCAATAATCAATCTAGTGGTGAGCTGCTGATCTGCTTTTAAAACAAACTGTGTGCCATATTTGACAGAGGCCCCACCAGCACTCTGCAAACCACTGTGAATACCTTGGAGGAGCCTGAGATGTAGACCCCTGCCATGAACAGGGAAGAGGAGGAGAGGGGAGATGTGGGGCGGAGGGGAGGGAGTCCAACCATACAACAAATCAAGACCTGTCTGAGACTCCACTATGGTCTAGTCAGTCCTGGCAGCCAAATATGGATGAGCCCAATGAAGAGGAAGGGATCTTTGGTAAGCGTGTGCATGCATTTTTCCTTACAGTGTTTAAATGTAAAGATGTCTCCTGGCCCATTGTCAAGTTAACAAGACACCGGTATAAACTTTTAGTTGTTTTACTCATACAGGAAGAGATGGAGGTAAAACAAATAGAGAGAGGTGGTATCTGCGTTTTGTTCCCCCGCTGGATTGGACATGGAGAGGGCCATGCGGAGCAGTTTGTTTATGTACAGAAGAATGTCCCTTGTATCCTCCTGAGAGATCTCAATGAAACTTTCATGGTGTTACTCCGCAATCCTCTCCTGAAGGGTTCTAGGGATGGCTGCCTTATTTGTTCTTCTGCAGATGATACTTTCCCACACCTCACCATGGTGAGTTCAGCTGGCAGCATTGCACTAAGCAGGCTAGTGGCATGTTGGCCCGGATGGCTTCAGGATGCCAGTAGCAGCTGTGCTGTCTGTGGCTTTGCTACCCTCCGGAGTGAGAGATCAGCTAAAACCACCACTGCCTATAGACAATAGTGCCAATATTCAGTGCCATTGCTCTATATTCGTAGAATGGAATAGGGACCACAATTTGATTGTTTCATGCAACCAGAATTCCTCCCCTGCCCCCCGTGGGCCCATACTCACCATGGCTGGGGCTGAAGAGTGGTGCTGTGCAGAGGCACTTCAAAGCTGAAATGTCAATAAGCAAGTCGTATGAAAAGTTTTGATGGGAATAAGGGAAGGGAGTTTGAAACTTATTCCCTCTCTGTTGTGACTATAAATCCAATGATACATCTGTCTGTTTTTATCAGCAGCTGCCATTGTGGCTTTGAGGGGTGCCCCTTGCACATCTGCAGAACACCTGATCCTGAAGAGGAGAAAGAAGAGGATTAGTTCAGCAAGATCTTGCAAGCTATTGCTGCTTCAGATCGTGAACAAAGGTCCTGGAGACCAGCGTGACCGATGTTATGGAGAATGAAAAAGGAGACAGGAAAGGCTAGGATTCCCAGCAGGAAGGGGAAAGGGAGATGCACCAAGACATAATGGAGCTTCTCAGGCAGCAAACTCAGATGCTGGTTGACCTACAGGCCCAGAAATCTGGCTCCCCGCACTTTGCAGTCCTTAGAGAGCTCTGTAGAAGCAGTCCTGACACTCCAAAGCATATCCTGTGGCATCACGGGCCACATCCTAATCCCTATGATTCCTCACTGTGTGACTGCAAGGAAAAACACTGCTTAACATACACCAACATAGGTCAGTATGTGTAGCACAAGGGATGACATTTGTATACTGAAATGGACAGAAATTTTTGCTGCTTTTCCAATTCTAAAAGTTCAGTTCAGAGTTTGTATTGCCTGCTGTTTTTTGCACATTGCTTTTCTGCACTGTTTTTGCCAAATTTCTTATTTTTTAAATAATTATTCTTCACAACACAGTTCAGAATGCAATGCAATGCTCAAAGCATAGAGTACTTGTAAATGTACAGCACCACAAAACTCAGAGGTTCTGGAAAACACCCCCCAGTCATATTTATAAATGTACAGCAAGCACCAGATCGTTCATAGCTTCGGTAAAACATAATGTGTGTAAATATGCAGAAAGCACTACACATTTCCCGACAGCACTCAAAGCTTCAGGTCCACAGAACATTCCAGTACAGAGCACTGCTATCGCTGACTGTTAAAGTCTTCTTTTAAAACCTCACTTAACTGCGTAGTTCCAAGTTGAACTCTTGTAATGGCTGTTCAAAGTCTGCTCTATCTCCTCCTTCCATCCTGGTGACAGCTTTTCCCCCCATTGCCTCACAAATATTATTTAGGTCACATGAGGTAGCTATAACCATTGGAATATTTTTCTCATTGAGATCCAGTCTAGTGAGTAAACACCACCAGTGTCCCTTCACTCTACCAACAGCACATTCAACTGTCATTCTGCGCTTTCTGACCTGGTAGTTGAGTCTTTCCTTGGTGTGGTTGAGGTGGCCAGTAAATGGTTTTGTGAGCCCTGGGAGCAAGGGGTAAACTGGATCCACCAGAATCACTACTGGCATTTCAATAGCACCAGTGGTAATCCACTTGTTGGGAAAGAATGTCCCCGCTTGCAGCTTTCTGAACAGTCTTGTGTTCTTAAAGATGTGGGTGTCGTGCTTTCAGTAACTAGCGCTCAGTTATGTAGGGATAATCTTTACTTTTTCCATCTTCAACTCAACGTGGAAAAAGTTAAGAATGCTTGACCAAATGGCCTTACTATTCAGCATTACCTAGCACTATTTGAGATTCCCACCTCAGCTTTGCTAGCTAAAACCCAATTGCTTTCAGCTGTTCCTGCGTTAATCTCTGACCTTCATAATGGAAACTTTTTCCTGCTGTATTTAGTAAACATCGTCAGTGTTGACCTGAAGATGGGAGTAAATAGAACAGTATTATTATATTCCCTTTTACTTATTTGGAGAAGTGTATAAAGAAATACAAAGATCTAGAAAGGATAAAAGCATGGATAGAAATAGCCAAAGAGACTTATGACTTCTGTCAAAATATTCTCTTCTGAAATGATATGGAAGCTACGTTGCTACACCTCATAATTGTGTGCTCACCGTGCTCATAACACTTGCAGCTCTATATAATTAAATCTCATGCTTCAGGACTCCAGCTGGTTGCCTGCAGTGGTCAGGCAGGAATTATTTCCCCTGATGCACAGCTGGCTAGATGGGCTACAGCTAGAACTGGGACACCATTCAGGGTGGACCAGTGGTCTAAGGTAGCACAAAAGATTCTCTTTCTAGATGCCTGGCTGTGTGTCTTGCTCACAGCCTTAGGGTCAGACTTACTGCCCTATTTGGAGTTGGGAAGGAATTTTCCCACGGGTCAGAGTGGCAGGGACTTTCTCTTTTTCCTGCTTTCCCCAGAAGCAAGTGGTGTGGTTTGCCTGCTGGGATCATCCGAGTATATCTTACCTAATCAATTCCCTGCCGTTGCAATATTTTTTTAAAAAAAGGTAATTGGGATGATTTGGTAATTATAGGGCTGTCAGCTTGACATTGATCCTGGGCAAGATAATGGAGTGACTAATACGGGACTCAGTTAATAAAGTATTAAAGGAGGTTAATATTAATTAAATCAATATGGGTATATGGAAAATAGATCCTGTCAAACTAACATATCATCTTTTTTTTTTTTGATGAGATGAAAAGTTTGGTTGATAAAGGTAATAGTGTTGAAGTAATATATTGAGACTTCTGTAAGTGTTTTGACTTAGTACCACATGACATTTGGATTAAAAAACTAAAATGATATAAAATGAACATGGCACACATTAAACGGGTTTAAAACTGGCTAACTGATAGGTCTTGAAATTTAATTGCAAATGGTTAATTGACATCAAGTGGGTATTTTCTGGTGGTGTCCCCCAAGGATTGGTTCTTGCCCCTATGCTATTCATCATTTTTATCAACGACCTGGAAGAAAATATGAAATCATCATTGATAAAATTTGCAGACACAGAAATTGGGGGAGTGGTATAGTGAATAGGACAGGTCACTGATTGGTAAACTGGGCGCAAGCAAACAGTATGTGTTTTAGTATGACTAAATGTAAATGTATACCTATAGGAACAAAGACTGTAGGGTGTACTTACAGGATGGGGTACTCTGTCCTGGGAAGCAGTGACTCTAAAAAACATTTTGTGGTCATGATGGATAATCAGCAGAACATGAGCTACCAACATGATGCTGTGTCCGAAAGAGTTAATGTGATCCTGATGCACAAACGGAAATCTTGAGTAGGAGTAGAGAGATTATTTTAATCTCTGTATTTGGCACTGGCATGACCGCTGCTGGAACACTGTCCAGATCTGGTGCCCACAATTCAAAAAGGATATTGATAAATTGGAGAAGGTTCAGAAAAAAGTCATGAGAATGATTAAAGGATTAGAAAATATAACCTTACAGTGATAGACTCAAAGAGCTCAATCTATTTAGGTTAACAAAGAGAAAGTTAAGGGTGACTTGATTACTGTCTATATATCTATGTGGGGGACAAATATTTAATAGTGGGCTCTTCAATCTAGCAGAGAAAGGTGTAACATGATCAAATGGCTGGAAGCTAGACAAATTTAGACTGGAAATAAGGAATACATTTTTGACAGTGAGTGTAGTTAACCATTAGAGAACAATTTACCAAGCATCTTGGTGAAGTGTCCTTCACTGACCGTTTTTAAATCAAGATTGTATATTTTCTAAAAGCTATGCTCTAAGAATTATTTTGGGGAAGTCTGATTGCCTGTGTTATGCAGAAGGTCAGACTAGATTATCACAGTGGTCCCTTCTGGCCTTGGAATCTATGAATTTATGAATCTTAGGAACTGGTGGCACCTTGGTCTTTCCTGTTTTCTGCTTGTGACACAAAATTTACTGACCTTAGGACTGAAATGCTTTAGTCTAACTAAAGTTGTTGGGCTTACTATATTGGTATCTGGATGAAATTTAATGGCTTGTGATGTACAGGAGGTCACACTAGATGATATAATGGCTCTTTCTGGCCTTAAACTCTATGATACTGTAATGGTCACTAGCAGAAGCAGTATCCATTTGGGTACAAGACTTTTGTTGTAGGACGTGAAGACAATTGACCCTGTTCACACTACAGTAATATAAATTTAATAAATTGTTATAGGGTCTACAATTGTATATATTCTAGAATAGGGGTTCTCAACCTTTTTCTCTCTGAGGCCCCCCTCAACATGTTATAAAAACTCCAGGGCCCACCGGGTGGGGGGGAACTCAGGGCTCCGGGCCAGCAGGGGTTGGGGGGGCCTTGGGCATAGGTGTAGTTTGACTTTTATTTGGGGTGGGGGGCAAGGGCCGGCAGCTCCGCACAACGCGGTCCAGGGAGGGAGTGCCACCTCCACTCCCTGACTCACCTCAGCAGGCCACCCAGGGGGGATGCAACCAAAAAATATAACTCAAAGTGGGTACTCAGTTCAGAAAGTTTGAAAACCACTCAGAGTGCAGGGAGAGGGGTAGGTAGGGGGTGTGTGTAGGCAGGGGGTAGCTCAGGGTGAAGGAAGGGGGTAGCTAGAGGCTGTGTGCCAAGACGGCTCCCTCTGCGGTGGCTGCTACCCGAGGGCTCTGCCATCCTGGAGCGGGGTCCCCCTGCCTGGGCAGCTTTTAGCGGCTGCATGAGCAGTCAAAGGGGGCTGGGAGCTGAGGAGCAGCTGCAACCCTGGACACCAGCAGCAAATGGGGGGAAGCCACAGCTGCCCGCTCCAGATGACACCACCAGCCAGAGGAACAGCTGCCCCGTACTGCCTGGCTCTGGCTTCCCACCTACAACCTGGCCAGAGGGTGGGGCCTGAGGGGAACTGGGGGTGGGGGGCTGGAGCTTCCCCCGGGGCTACCCCACTCTGGGTAAGGCACTGCAGTTTGGGAGGGCAACACCCTTGTGCCCCACAACTCTGCCCATGGGCTCAGGGTTTCTGCCTGTGGGGAGCACTAGGGCTCAGGGCTTCAGCCCTGCCCTGCTCCTGGCTTCAGCCCAGGGGGCACCCTCAGGGGGGGCACTGGGGTTCCCCCGCTGCTCCCAGCTCCAGAGGAGGAGGGTGCCAGTGCTCCCAGCTTGACCCTGTGCCACTCCTGGCTTCAGGGCACAGGGGCTCCCAGCTTCTGCCCTGCACCGCTGCCGGCTTCTGCCCTGCACTGCTGCCGGCTTCAGCTCTGCACCGCACCACTGCAGGCTTTGTGGGGGCTGCTAGGGTTCAGGGCACCGGGTTTCAGCTGTGGGGCCTTGCGGCCCCCTTGAAAGGTCTCTGACCTGGGTGTAACAGATGCAACTATAGCTGCCTAAATCTGCAGACAGTCTGAACCAATAGCTTTGAGAAGTGCAAATTTCCATATGCATCTCAATGAGAATCTGCCACTCCAAATGGGGGTGGATGAAGCCACAGGACCCTCATTTTGTGGTGTGTATTGTGCTCTAGATTTTCTTAATCCAGCTCTGAGTAAACACAACACAACTAGGGTTAACATACACTACTCTTCCTTGCTTTATAAACCCATATCTACACACTGAAAGTGTGAATTGAAGAATGAACCATGTTATCACTATCTAGTTTAAAAATGCAGGAGTTAAGGCTTGTTTTATTAAATATTCTGATAATTAAATCTATTAATTAGTTTGAGTTGAATTTCATTTAAAACTGGGTCCTTCAAAGAAAAAAGTGTTCTGTCTCTGGTGTTTTTGTTTGTTTGTTTGTTTTTTGGGGAGAAGGAAAAGTTAGTTGATATGATCTGGAGCTTTTTATATTGTTGCTGTTGTTAAAATCCTGTTTCTTACGCTAAAACAAGACACACATAAAAGGGTAAAGTAAAGAATAGCAAAGATAAAAAATGTAGTTTCTGTCTCTGGTGTTGACTTTCACTTGCAAACTCACTGTTGGGAAAACACAGGCCCAATACACAGTTTTGTCATCCACTCTGAGATCTGGAAACTTGTACTGGCATCAGGCTGTTTAGGACATTTCTTTTAGTTGCCTCTTTCTGGTCACAGGCTTACAGCAGTGTTGCAAATATGCAATGTTGGAAATCAGCAACAAAGGTTTCAAACAGAAGAAAAAACAACAACAAAGGTTGCAGGATGGATATAATCAACATATCACTCTTTGATGCACAAGAGAACTTCAGCTATGACAGGAATTCAGAATGGACTGACTGGAAGAAATGCTTTGCAAGACTTCACATTGCTACTAAACTCTACCAGGAAACTGGAGACATCAGGTATTGTCTTTAATTTATGCTATGGGGAAGCAGGCAGAGTATATCTTTAAATCCTTTGCCTTTACTGATGATAGTCACAAGGATGACTGAAAGAGTTCTGGCTCTGTTTGATGCATACTTTATACCTTTAGAGAAATGTGGTTTATGAAAGGGCGTGTTCTCGCCAGAGAGATCAAGAACCAGGGGAATGTGTTGAATCTTTTGTAAAAGTCTTTCATACCTTGGCAGAAAACTGAGATTTGTGGATTGTAAAACATGAAAATATCAAAGAGAGACTGATTATTGGGCTTACAGACAAAAGTGTCTCACAGCAGGTTCAATTAAAGACAGTTTTAACCATACACACAGCTATCCAGATAATAAAGCAGAGTGAGCTAGTGAAGGAGCAAAACAAAAAGCAGGAGCAACTTGAAAAACCAGAAACTAGCTCAGAAGCAGTAAAGAGACGCAGCATGACTGCAAAAAGTAATGATCATAAATCCACTGAGGAAAAGAGGGACAAGTCCGTAGCTACAAAATCTTTCAGACTAACTTCACAAGATGTGGAAAAATTCAGAGCCCATTCACATCTTCAGTTTGTTCCTCAGAAGGAACAATCAACAGAGTAAACTTTACAAATGGCAGATGTAGAACAAGAAGAATACAATTCCAAACCAACCACAGCCAGCCATTGCAACTAATGGACAGCCAGATCACAAAGTTATTAGGCATTTGAGTCATGTAATTAGAAAACCTGTATGATTCAGAAACACCTTAACAAACTGATATGTACTGAACTTTAAAGTTTGCATGATAGAGTAAAATTTTGTAAATGGTACGACTATAAAACTTAAAGGGGGAGATGTGATGGAATGCTAAAACTATTATAATGTTCAGCCAGTAGGTGGCACTATGTGTAACATACTTTATTTGAGCTGGTAACAGCTATACCTGACTGCTTTAAAGTATCTTAAAAAGCACACATTTCTTGTATCTTTCTTCATGATGAATGTTCTGTCGCCAGTCCAAAACTGGTACAGAAGCCTGTCCTACTTGTAGCAGTCCTGCAATCTACTGTGTACAAGCAGCATGTGACAGCCATCATAGCCAGATTTTAAGAAAGAAGGAGGTGAAAGAAAAGGACACATGGAGAGTGCGAGGGGAAAGATGAAGTCTCATATCCCAGCTGGTGTTCAGAATTGAGCCAATGCAGGTGATAGTGTCGTCTGGTTGCTTCTCTCAGGCCTGGTCTGGTCAGGACATCTCGCAGGATTAGGATGAAGAATATCTGCGGTTCCAGGAGATAGTGGGGTGGCAGCAATGCTGATAACGTTTTCTTCCATTGTTGGCAGACAGCTGCTGCTTCTGCTAGTTTTTCCTAAAAAGTCTTTTCTTTTTAAGACATCCCCCTCCCGCCCCCCAAGAAGGGGGTGTTGGGCAGTTGGCAAGGAGATTTCATCCCATCCTCTTGGCCAATGACCTGGCCTCATTTATATAGCCTTTGTCACCTCTCATCTAGACTAAAGCAATGCAGTATACCTGGGCATGAAGCCTTCAGTGCTTAGAGTGCTTCTCCTAAGTGAAATAGGCTATCACAAAACACATCATATCTGTCCTCTGCTCAATATGCTGGCTTCCTATAAAATGTCAAATCAAGTTCAAGGTCTTGGTCCTTTTTATCAAGATGCTCAATGCTTGGGCCCAGGATATCTAAAATGTTACCAAGAAGTCCAACATGAACACCATGGTAAACAACTCTGCTCCTATGGCACAATGGACCTTTCTACAATAAGGGAAAAGCTCATCTGTGCAGGAGACAGATCTTTCTCAGGCTGGTCTGAGACTGTGTAATGAACTCCCGCAGGAACGAAGAACCATCACAAACTTCAACACTTTCTCTTCTCTGTGCATATTGCACTTCTTTGACCTTCCCTTCTCTAATATAAACATATGCTCTGTGTGTATATATATATATATATATATATATATATATATATATATTTAAATTTAAAACAAAACATCCTACTAAAACAACACCTGCATGCACACAGAATTCTTCCCCAGGAAGAGGATATGAGAGAGAACAAAGAACATGTGATGGATGTTAGTCACATTGCTCAGTTCAATACTGAAAGGTGCTCAAATACTGTGGTAATGAGCATAGTATAAGAAACTATATAGAATACGATTAAAATGTTTGGATTTCTCTTACATTTAAACTTAACTCTGAACTGCCTGGTTTTATAATGCTTCTGGTTTTTGGTGTGTGTGAGAGTGTGTTGGGTGGGTGGATAATTGCAACATCCCTGTGGTGCTTTTTACTCTAAATTACTATCAACCTTATCTCCATTTTAACCCAGTTTTTGTCTGGGAATATAATTAAATGGCAAAAAGGGACTGGTAGATATTTTTTTTAACTTTTCTGCTCTCAAACTACCTTTCACGCTTAGCAGATCTTCAAGGACATCACTGTGGGGAAGGGAATGCAGTTCAAAAACCTAGAATGGGTTCTCAAACTTCATTGCACTGCAGCCCCCTTCTGACAACAAAAATTACTACATGACCCCAGGAGTGGGGACCGAAGCCTGAGCCCACCCGAGCCCCATTGCCCCGGGAGGGGGCAAAGCCCGAGCTCCACTGCTCCAGGTGGGGGGAAGGGCGGGGGGCAGCCAAGCTGAAGCCCAAGGGCTTCAGCCTGGGGAGGTGGCCTGTAACTTGAACCCTGCCGCCCAGGGCTGAAGCCTTCAGGCTTCGGCCCCAAGTGGTGGGGCTCGGGCTTCAGCAAGTCTAAGGTAGCCCTGGTGACCCCATTGAAATGGAGTTGTGACCCACTTTGGGGTCCCAACCCACAGTTTGAGAACCTCTGGCCTAGAACAAATATGAAAAATTCAGAATTTTTCAGACTTTCTTTGGGAGTTCTGTGGCTGTAGGTGGACAATTGAAGATTCAAATATTATTATAATTGATTTCACAGGTATCTCACGTTACAAAATGGCTTGTGTGCACTACTGATTTCGGATGCAAATAACATGGATAGTGTTCCTTCGGAGGATTCTTCGGAATGGGAGGATAATGATGAGACTGAGATTGAAACTGATGAAGATGATGACTCGGGAGCAGAGATGGATGAGGACAAGGAAAATTATGAGGATGATGACAATGATGGAGATGATGAGGAGGATCCCAATAATTCTGATGATATGGAAATGGAAGAACTAACAGAAAAGGAAGAAGCAAAGAAGAGAAGTGGTACAGAGAAGCTGGTATGTGCTAATATTACAGAGTGAAAGCTTGTTAAGTGGAGAACTACTCTCATGGTCCTAAGCTCTTAAATATTGTGGTCTGACAAACAGGCTGGTCCTCCATTCCTGAATGTCCTATCCATCTAGTTACTAATGTGGCCTCCATCTCTGGTATCTGAGCATCTAGCTCTCTTGTTCAGGGTTGAGCCTATATTACCATTACTTATGGACTCATAGCTCATATTTCCAGCAGAACATCCTGGTCTGTTTCACTCTTCTGTTCTTTGTTGAGTATAGAGTAGCTCTGTTAGATTGTTAGAACTGGAGTTCTTGCCTACTAGATAAAATGACTGTATTTTTTTTTAGAAGTGACTCCTCAGTGTCTGTTGTGTTTATTTTGCAGTCTGCAGCTGCTCTTTGTGTTGCTGTTGGGAGTTTCTGTGATCCTGAGGATCTGCCTGGGTTGGCACATTTTCTGGAGCACAGTATGTATCATCTAACATTTCAGTCTTTCCTCCCAAAGTGGAAAATTTAATGACATTATTTTGGATTTATTGATTTATATGAAATATTCTAGAAGGAGAATGCCAGATGGGTGTGATATGTAGGTACCACATCAAAAAGGTTTTAAGGAGGGATGTTAGAGGCTAAGATGGGGGTTTCATGAATTATCAGGGGGAGTTCTCCCCAAGTGTAAGGGGTTGCATGAAGAATGCATGGAGGTGAATGTGGGAAAAATGGGGCTGGCATCACTGGTGATATAAAGTTGTTGGGGGTGGGTAAACTTCATAATACAAACAAGTTGGAAGGTAGGGTAGAACTAAATGATGGAGGGCCTTAAAGATGAGGACCACATGCTGTGCTTGGTGTGGTAGAGTGAAGAGTGGGTGAGGTGATTGTGACACAAAGGCTCATAGGTAAAGGGCTCCCTATTCTTCGCAAAAAAACCTCTTCAGACTTCACAAATTCACTACACCAAACATGTGCCTTACAGGATATTTATCCATAAAGAGTAACATTAGGATACCTCCAAAAAGCTAGTAACTTGTCAAGATTCATATAATTGCAAGGTGTATGTATGGGTGATATTTAAGGAATAATTAATGTATATTGAAAGTATGCTTTATAGACTTGGAGTAAAAAATTAGTCACCAGGAGATATGTCTTGGTGGTGGGCCGTTCAGGTCACTCTGCCCTGTTTAGTTGGTGATGCAATGCAAGGCTTGATTATTTATCCTTGTTCAATCCAAAAACCATCAAGGAAAAATCATAAGAGACAACTGCAAATCATCAAATCCTATTGAGGGTAAAAAAAGTAATGTTACAACAAGACAGGGATGCCCTGCCCATGAATAGAAACAAAAGATTGTTTCAGATAACACAGATGAGGGAAAGGTATTCTGGATGATTTCACTGAGGAGACATTTTGAGGAGCAAGTTGTTCTCATGAAAAATTGGATCCTGATTCCTGTGAAGCCAGCCAGCTCTGCAACAGACAGAACTTTTTGGGAAAAACCTACTTTATTAGACATGAAAGGTAACTATTAATAAGTGTCAAGTATCAGAGGGGTAGCCATGTTAGTCTGGATCTGTAAAAAGTGACAAAGAGTCCTGTGGCACCTTATAGACTAACAGACGTATTGGAGCATAAGCTTTCGTGGGTGAATACCCACTTTGTCAGACGCATGTGGTGGAAATTTCCAGAGGCAGATATAAATATGCAGGCAAGAATCAGTCTAGAGATAACGAGGTTAGCTCAATCAGGGAGGATGAGGCCGTATTCTAGCAGTTGAGGTGTGAACAGCTAGGGAGGAGAAACTGCTTTTGTAGTTGGCTAGCCATTCACAGTCTTTGTTTAATCCTGAGCTCATGATGTCAAATTTGCAAATGAACTGAAGTTCAGCAGTTTCTCTTTGGAGTCTGGTCTTGAAGTTTTTTTGCTGCAGGATGGCTACCTTTAAATCTGCTATTGTGTGTCCAGGCATGTTGAAGTGTTCTCCTACAGGTTTTTGTATATTGCCATTCCTAATATCTGACTTGTGTCCATTTATCTTTTTACGTAGGGATTGTCCAGTTTGGCCGATTTACATAGCAGAGGGGCATTGCTGGCACATGATGGCGTATATTACATTGGTGGACGTGCAAGTGAATGAACCGGTGATGTTGTGGCTGATCTGGTTAGGTCCTGTGATGGTGTCGCTGGTGTAAATATGTGGGCAGAGTTGGCATCGAGGTTTGTTGCATGGATTGGTTCTTGAGTTAGAGTTACTATGGTGCGGTGTGTGGTTACTGGTGAGAATATGCTTAAGGTTGGAGGGTTGTCCGTGGGCGAGGACTGGCCTGCCTCCCAAGGCCTGTGAAAGCGAGGGATCGTTGTCCAGGATGGGTTGTAGATCACTGATGATGCGTTGGAGAGGTTTTAGCTGAGGACTGTAGGTGATGGCCAGTGGAGTTCTGTTGGTTTCTTTCTTGGGCTTGTCTTGCAGAAGGAGGCTTCTGGGAAACAAATCAACAGAGCCAGACGTGTACGTGTAGACTGATTCTTGCCTGCATATTTATACCTGCCTCTGGAAATTTCCACCACATGCGTCTGACGAAGTGGGTATTCACCCATGAAAGCTTATGCTCCAATACTTCTTTTGGTCTATAAGGTGCCACAGGACTCTTTGTCGCTTTTATTAATAAGTGTGGTCCTAGGTTCTCATTTTTTTTTTTTTTTGGATTGTAATGACTTGTTTTCATCACTCTGTTGTTTCTAGTAGAATCTCTATCCTTTCTTAAACCTTGTGTTATGCAGGAGCGGTGATTTAAGGTAAAAAAGATAAGTGAGTTATCCTACGCTGGTGGAATTTCTGTGAGTAGCCAGTGTCTGGCTGGATATCACAAGGGAATGATTCAAAGGGTTTGGGGTGCACCTATTGCTAGCCCTTTCTTTGTCTTGAAGGTTGGCATAGGCTAGAGGAGAGTGCTTGAGTGGCTGAAAGGCTGGTGGTGCTAGAGAGCTGGCACCCAGCCAAGCACAGGCATGACTCCCTCATGCGGGAGGCCGGGGGTAACAAGGTGACTCTCTGTCCTGGATATCCTGAGAACCATCACAGGGGTCATTATTATTTTTTATATTACCATTATGTCTAGTAGCCCTAATCATGGATCAGGACCCCATTACTGCTAGGTGCTGTACAAACAGAGAATGAAGAAGATGGTTCCTGCCCTAGGGGGTTTACAATCTAAGGGTAAGACTAAAGACATCAGATGGATATAGATCAGAGAGGAATACAAGTAAACAATGAAGCAATATTGGTCAGCATGACAGGCAGTGATCTTTGCACACTAGCTCTTAGTTGTGTGTCATTATGACCAGTAGGAACATGAGCCTAGTGGCAACATTTTAAATGGATATGAGGGAGGCTAATTTGGAGGCGTCAAGGTCGGGTGGGTAAAAATTGATAATTAAAAAAAATCAAAACCAGATGCTTTTAATTTAAATTCAATTTTTAATGTAAATTAAATTCATTTTCTTTTTAAAAATAAACCTAATTTAAAATGATGGCAATTTATGCTAATGCCTAAATTTATTATAATATGTTAAAATAATTTAAATGAATAAAAATGCTGAAACTAAGGTGAGAAGAAATTTAGAAGTGGATAAAAAAGTGAGCTTAAAATTTATATAGTACAGAGCTCATTTGATGTATCTTTTAGCCAAAGACTGAGGTATACCAGGAACAAAGGAAAATGTTGTTGAAATGTTGTTCTTTAACAATCACTTTGCATCAGATTCACTGAAGAGAGAAGGAGGATCAAAGCTAATTCTCCCCTAAGATGTATGATGGAATTTAGTGGTTGACTGTTTTGAAGTATTTATTAAAAATCTCGCCTATCCTGATGACAATTTGTAAAGAAAACTGTGACAAAATAGGTGGAAATTTCACATACCAGAATAGTTAGTATCAGACTAAAGGGAAATGTAGAAATTATACTGACTATACTAAAATCTATTTCCATAGCTTTGGACAAATTGAAAAAAGATAACTGCTATATTGCTGATGTTGTTGAAATTTGGCAAGAATTTAAGGAAACGCTTAAAAAACAAAGCTAAATTACAGGCAGCGAACAAGCAGATCAAGAACTTACTCTGCCTTGTTTTTTTGCCAGTATTCACAATACCAAGTATCACAGTAAATACTTAATTGCTGAGGAGGAAGTGCTGCTATGGCATGAGCATCTAATATTCATCCATCAATCAGAATAGGTTTCAGGACTGGGGGGTGAATCGAACCATTGATTAAAGCAACACATTTGCTGCCAAAGTTTTGAAGAAAGTCAAACCAGTGAACTGGTGGAAGTAACTGGCTAAGCACCTGGAACCAGATTTTTTTTTTTACGTTACATAAGCTTTTGATGGCAGTTGCCTCTTCTGCAGGTAGAAAGAAAATGTTTTCTTCATTTTGACTAGTTCATTCAAAATTGGGAGCTGAAAAAGCAGGAAAGCTTGTTTTCCTCTTCTAATCCATGAATAAAAACGAGGTAGAAAAGGATGAGAACTAGTTCCAAAATCTTGAAGGACATAGTGATCAGAAATAATCAGCTAAAGTCACAAACTACAGTCAATTCTTTCTTTGTTTAACAAATCATCTAGTATTAAATGCAAAATATGTTATGATAAACTTACTTTTTTTCTTTGTGTCCAGCACATTTAAGGTAGCTGTATTTAACTAATAAAAACAAATGTAAAAAGCTGTTTTGTGTGTTTCTAATTTAATTAAAATTTCCATCCAAATGCAGTGAGATATATATCATGAGTAGAAAAAGAAACATTTTCTAGTAAATAGGTTACAACATTCACCATTTTTAACATAATAAAAAAAAAGTAAAAATTAGGAATCCTTATAAATATGTTAAGGTATACAGACGCTCCCTGACTTACGCAAGCGTTCTGTTCCGTATGTTTCATCAGCTGAATTCAGCCTCCTCCCGTTTTGAGCTCAACTTCTGAAAGTTGTTTTGGGATTAATCATGTTGGTTAAGTAATGGAAAAGTCCATAGCGTCCAGTGGTTCTTTTAAAAAAAAAATTGTCCTTATGTGTTTCCAATTCTTTGTGGATTATACTTAGCCAGATTCTTGCTGAGACTGCCACAACCTTTAATCCATCAAATCCTTCCAAAACCACCTTCAATTCTTTATGCTTTAGTGACTCTCTACAGAGTTCTATTTTGTGTAAAACATGCTGCTGTTATGATCAAAGGCTTCTCAATGCTGAGTGCAAATATCAATCTATACTTGGTAGTTGGATGTAAATGTAGAGACACCAGTCTTCCAGAGTTCTATTTGGTGTCATTTGGGAAGCTTAAAACATCAAGCTTCCTTTTTAAGTCAGCCAGCTGCTGGAGGGCCTGGAACAGAGACTTATCACCATGGATATGTTTTAATGGCAATGGCAAAGAAACTGATTTTCTGCACTTCTTGAAAGGAGCACACATTCTCTCTTTTTAAACAACAATTGACAGTATGTGCATAGGGAAAGAACAAGTTAAAATTATTTGGACAAATTAGATGTCTTCAAGCCAACAGGGCCTGATGAAATGCATCCTAGAATAGTCAAGGAGCTGTCTGAGGAGATACCTGAGCCATTAGCGATTATCTTTGAAAAGACATGGAAGACGAGAGAGATTCCAGAAGACTGGAAAAGGGCAAATATAGTGCCAATCTATAAAAAGGGAAATAAAGACAGCCCAGGGAATTACAGACCAGTCATCTTAACTTCTGTACCCGGAAAGATAATGGATCAAATAATTAAGCAATTTGCAAACATCTAGAAGATAATAAGGTGATAAGTAACAGTCAGCATGGATTTGTCAAAAACAAATTTGTCAAACCAACCTGATAGCTTTCTTTGGCAGGGTAACAAGTCTTGTGGATGAGGGGAAGCGGTAGACATGGTATACCTTGACTTTAGTAAAGCTTTTTATACTGTTTCACATGACCTTCTCATAAACAAACCAGGGAAATGCAACCTAGATGGAACTACTATAAAGTGGGTGCAAAACTGGTTGGAAAACTGTTCCCAGTGAGTAGTTATCAGTGGTTCACAGTCATTGTAGCATAGAAGATTAGGGTTGGAAGAGACCTCAGGAGGTCATCTAGTCCAACCCCCTGCTCAAAGCAGGATCAACCCCAACTAAATCATTGCAGCCAGGGCTTTGTCAAGCCGGGCCTTAAAAACCTCTAAGGATGGAGATTCCACCACCTCCCTATGTAACCCATTTCAGTGCTTCACCACCCTCCTAGTGAAATAGTGTTTCCTAATATCCAACCTAGACCTCCCCCACTGCAACTTGAGACCATTGCTCCTTGGTCTGTCATCCGCCACCACTGAGAACAGCCGAGCTCCATCCTCTTTGGAACCCCCTTTCAGGTAGTTGAAGGCTGCTATCAAATCCCCCCTCACTGTTCTCTTCTGCAGACTAAACAAGCCCAGTTCCCTCAGCCTCTCCTTGTAAGTCATGTGTCCCAGCCCCCTAATCATTTTCTTTGCCCTCCGCTGGACTCTCTCCAATTTGTCCACATGCTTTCTGTAGTGGGGGAGGGGGGGCCCAAAACTGGGCGCAATACTTCAGATGTGGCCTCACCAGTGCTGAATAGAGGGGAATAATCACTTCCCGCGATCTGCTGGCAATGCTCCTACTAATGCAGCCCAATATGCTGTTATCCTTCCTGGCAACAAGGGCACACTGCTGACTCATATCCAGCTTCTCATCCACTGTAATTCCCAGGTCCTTTTCTGCAGCGGTGCATGGGATTCTTCCATCCTAAGTGCAGGACTCTGCACTGGTCCTTGTTGAACCTCATCAGATTTCTTGTGGTCCAATCCTCCAATTTGTCTAAGTCACTCTAGACCATATCCCTACCCTCCAGCGTATCTACCTCTCCCCCCAGCTTAGTGTCATCCGCGAACTTGCTGAGGGTGCAATCTATCCCATCATCCAGATCATTAATAAAGATGTTGAACAAAACCGGTCCCAGGACCGAACCCTGGGGCACTCCGTTTGATACCGGCTGCCAACTAGACATCGAGCTATGGATAACTACCTGTTGAGCCCGACAATCTAGACAGCTTTCTATCCACCTTATAATCCATTCATTCAATCCATACTTTTTTAACTTGCTGGTAAGAATACTGTGGGAGACCGTATCAAAAGCTTTGCTAAAGTCAAGATATATCACGTCCACTGCTTTCCCCATATCCACAGAGCCAGTTATCTCATCATAGAAGGCAGTCAGGTTGGTCAGGCATGACTTGCACTTGGTGAATCCATGTTGACTGTTCCTGATCACCTTCCTCTCCTCCAAGGGCTTTAAAATGGTTTCCTTAAGGACCTGCTCCATGATTTTTCCAGGGACTGAGGTGAGGCTGACCAGTCTGTAGTTCCCCGGGTTCTCCTTCTTCCCTTTTTTAAAGATGGGCACTATATTTGCCTTTTTCCATGCTGTCATGCTGGAAGGGCATTATGAGTGGGGTCCCGCAGGGATCAGTTCTGGGTCCAGTTCTGTTCAATGCCTTCATCAATGATTTAGATAATGGCATACAGAGTACACTTATAAAGTTTGTGAATGATACCAAGCTGGGAGGAGTTGCAAGTGCTTTGGAAGATAGGATTAAAATTCAAAATGATCTGGACAAACTGGAGAAATGGTCTGAAGCAAATAGGATGAAATTCAATAAGGACAAATGCAAAGTACTCCATTTAGGAAGGAACAATCAGTTGCACACACAAAATGGGAAATGACTGCTTAGGAAGGAGTACTGTGGAAAGGGATCTGGGGTTCATAGCGGAGCACAAGCTAAATATGAGTCAACAGTGTAACGCTGTTGCAAAAAAAGTGAACATCCTTCTGGGATGTATTAGCAGGAGTGTTGTAAGCAAGACACGAGAAGTAATTCTTTCGCTCTGCTCCGTGCTGATTAGGCCTCAACTGGAGTATTGTGTCCAGTTCTGGGTGCCACATTTCAGGAAGGATGTTGACAAATTGGAGAGAGTCTAGAGAAGAGCGACAAAAATGATTAAAGGTCTAGAAAACATGACTTCTGAGGGAAGTTTGAAAAAATTGGGTTTGTTTAGTCTGGAAAAGAGAAGACTGAGAGGGGACATGGTAACAGTTTTAAAGTACGTAAAAGGTTGTTACAAGGAGGAGGGAGAAGAATTGTTTTTCTTAACCTCAGAGGACAGGACAAGAAGCAATGGGCTTAAATTGCAGCAAGGGCGGTTTAGTTTAGACATTAGGAAAAACTTCCTAACTGTCAGGGTGGTTAAAGCACTGGAATAAATTGCCTAGGGAGGTTGTGGAATCTCCATCATTGGAGATTTTTAAGAGCAGGTTAGACAAACACCTGTCAGGAGTGGTCTAGATAATACTTAGTGGTGCCACGAGTGCAGAGAACTGGACTATATGTCCCTTGCAGTTCTATGATTCTATGTGATGGGGTGTACTAACTCCACACTGGTGAGGTGAGGGTTAAGGAGTTGCTCTGGATACCTTTGGCTGCCCTGCTGGGCATGCTCCCAGTGGAGGGAGAGTTCAAAAGGGAGCAGCTCAGCTCAGTCTAGGTGGACCGAGCAGGAGAGCAGTTGGATTCTGTAGCTTCCTGCAGAGAAGCAGCTGGGACAGGGCTCACAGTCAAGCCATGCAGGCCTTTCAATTGTGGGGGCTGAGGATGACGTGTTGCTGCAAATAGGGGAAGACACTCGGGAGAGTGACCTGAAAGGACACCAAGGGGACTCCAAGACAGATCAGTGGTGGAGATGGAGGAACAGAAGCAGGGGTAGGAAGTGACCCAGGGCACGGGGGTAAGGGCTGGCACCTGTCTGTAAGCTATATGTCTGGACCATTATTTTGAAGGGCCCTGGGTTGGAACCTGGTGGAGCAGCATGGGCCTGGGTTCCCCTAGCCCCAGTCACTGATTTTCACTGTTGGGTGACACTGACACTGGCTCTAGCCACTAAGCCTGGTGGCCACAGATTCTAGCTGCTAGGCAAGGCAGCCATTGACTCTCACCAATGACTCTGGGCAACATAGTCCAGAATATCGCCACTCGTGGGTACTGCTGGTCTTGGACATAAATCCCCCCCCGCCCCGACAGTGCACTTTAGATTAATCATTTATTTTCAATAAATGGACTGAAATAGTAATTGCTTGTTTCTTACACTTCCTTCAACGTTAGGCATACTCAGTTAGATAAATTTGAGTGCTTGTATGTCTGTTTCTCTATGGTGGCCTACTGAGGACTAGATTGAGACTGATGTGCTCAGTTTTAAGGTGCAACTTAAAATCATACTTGAAGCCAAGTGTTTTCCATATTCTGAAATGATTCCATTCTATAACTTGCATTTTTAGGCTGGTCAATTGCTACAGGCTAGATTTCCCACTGTCTTACATCTTGTGTAGTAATTTGCACCTGTGCAAATGGACATAAAATGCTGTCAAATCAAATGGTAATGCACTGTTGCTTTGTGTAAATGCCTTCACAAGGTGCAAGGCAGTGGGAAATCATGCTGTCTATATGTAACTGTGCCTTTCTGAAATCATCATTGTGTCTATATCTGCTTAATTTTGATGGATTGTGTTTCAGTGGTATTTATGGGCAGTTTGAAGTATCCAGATGAGAATGGGTTTGACGCATTCCTGAAGAAACATGGGGGCAGTGACAACGCTTCAACTGACTGTGAACGGACAGTCTTCCATTTTGATATCCAGCAGAAATACTTCAAAGAAGCACTTGATAGGTAAACTAGATCACACCAAATAAAGCACTGGTTCATTTAAAATAGATTAACACAATGTGTGTCTGCCTGAGGAAACTACATATATAACTTTGCATTGCCTTGTCTTGGCCTGATTGAAAGGTGCCTGCCGTTGCTGAGCTTCCATAGGTCCCCTTATTACAACCGAGGTCATTATAGATGGAAGGAGACTGTGATTTTCCCTTAGATCTCTCACTGTCTTTTGAGGGAGTAGTAGTATCCCAGTAGTGTATAGTCTCTTAGGAGTGATGTAATTTATGCACCTGCTATGAAAGTAGGACAGCTTTCAATATGTATTTATGCCAGATTACTTGTAGGACTATGATAAATTCTCCTACTGTTGCAATTGCTAGTTCATTCCATTTACCTGGCTACTTAAAGGAGAATCTTTTATTGGCCTGTTCCTTTTAAATATGTGTCCCCTTAGGCTGTTTAATTTTTTATTAACAGTCTCTTTTTTTAAAAAAAATATTGATTCTTATAAGGCAGTGTACTACCAAAAAGGTGCAGTAAAATGATCCACTGCTTTATTCAACAAAAATATATGTTCAGTGCCAGGAAGGATCATTAATTAACTCTCACCATGCCATAGGATATGTCAATACAATAAAGCTCCATTTCTGTCATAGAGAAATTAAACAATCTTCTGATGGGGAGAGTAATTTAAATATTTTTGATATTGACAAAACTGCCCGGGGGGAAATTAGGTTGTACTGCAAATAGGCCATTAATATGGTGATGGAACTAATTTCTGCACTAGAATGCACACACAATGGGAGTTCTATGATAGCCTTCTGTAAAACATTGGAGGGGAGAATTCATCCCTCCAAAGGTGGGAATCAGACCAGCTTTGGCTATTTTGAAGAGTCTCAAAGATGGGTAGCAAAGATAGTTAGACTTATGGCAAGACTTGGATATGAGGAGAGACTGAAAAAGCTGGGGCTAGTTGAAAGGAGACAAAGCAGAGATGACATGATACATGTCTATAAAATAATGAATGGTATGTGGGGGATAAATAGGCACATCTATTCATCATCACTCATACAAGAACATGTGTGAAGTTAATGAAATTGAAAGGCAACAAATTTAAAACTGATGAAGAAATTTTTTTTTTTGATAATCGATGTGTGGAACTCTGTCAGAAGGGATTGTTGAGGCAAAGAACTTAGTAGGATTTTCAAAAAATTTTCCATCTTCCTCTGAAGCATCTGGTACTGACCACAGTTTGAGATAGGCACTACTGTCTAGATGGACCACTGAGGGTCAGATCTGGTATGACAGGTCTTATGTGCTGAAGGCAGATGATTCTGCATCCTTTGGTACCATATTCTACCAGTCCACTTCCACGCCAAAGACCTTGCCTTTTGTCTTTCTGAAAATATTAAATAATTGGGTTTATTCATTTTACTTCAGAGGCATTAAGAACATGTGTCAAAAGAGTCCAGAACTATATAATTGTTTCTGAATTACTGCAAGTCCTAAACCTTAAAAAAAATGAATATTGTTGTTTGTCATAAAGGCAGTTTTTTGTTATAAAAACAACTTTCTGGACAATCTTTCAGCAGACAACAGGAACGATTTGCCATTTTTCTCTTTGTTTTAGGTGGGCACAGTTCTTCATTCACCCACTAATGATCAGGGATGCTATTGATCGTGAAGTTGAGGCTGTCGATAGTGGTAAGAGTAATATATTTGTCATAACTTTTTTTTGTTTAGCTCTACAGCATTGACTGTACTGAAGTTCTTGACAAGATTCTCAGGTATTAAGTGCTGTGAAGTCTGATGCATAATATTTTATATGTCCTTTATTTAACTAGGGGCTAAAATTATGTCAATCAAATTTATTAAATCCTTGAGCCTAATGAAATATATGCATTTATGTGAGTGTGAGTCAAGTTGTGTTGTGTTCACCCCTCAATGCAGAGCAAATGTTGGTATTAACATTGATAGGGAGACTAGTCTTGTGAAAAAAGAGTACACTTGAGGGAGAATAATTAGAGTGCGAATCAGTCTGTAAATGAGGAGAAACTTCCTCTGATCAAAAAGGCATTCTCTGAAAAATTTCACCAGTCACCTGGTGTAATAAAAAACGGATGCAAAGAATAAAAGAGAACTAGGTTAACAGGGATCTGCAAAGGGACAAAAATGGATCGGTGCCTTTTCTTGATGCATCACGATATGTAAAGAAGGGCTAAAAATGTAGATTTTAAGAGATTAAAAAAAAAATGTTTTCCTGCTTGTGTTTTTAAGTAAAGGTTAGGAATGTCAAGTCTGGTCTTCCCTTGTTTGGCTGGAGGATGTGTTAAACACCTCAAATGTGCAGCTTTCTCTGCTCTTAGTTGAAGACTAGGGTAGGAGAGTGATATATTTAATAAAGACCTCAGAAAAACTCAGGGAGTTGAATTAAATAATTGTTAGCAAAACTAAACAGAACACAGTTTTGGCTAAGGTTACTAGGTCACTGTTGTCTCTTCTGTAGGCTGGGGAGTGCATGTAGGGGTGTTGAAAATTCAGGGCTTGTTGGTGGAATAGGAAGTTTCCCTCCATATCAATTCCTGGAGCTCAGAGCCATTTACAATGCCGGCATAGATGCTACATGACTAGATGAGAAGGAGGAACGATGTTCGTAAGCTCTTTGACAAGTGTTGCTTAACAGCTGCAAGTCCTCTCCTAGGGTGATTTATTTGGCCAAGTGGAAGTGTTTTTCAGTTTGGTCGCTTGCTGTGGAAATTCAGCCAACGCTGGCCTGCATTCAGGACATTTTGGAGTACCTATTGTGCCTTCAGTCATCTGGTATCTTGGTCAGCCCATTGAGGGTTCACTTGGCAGCTATCTTTGTGTTTCATCTGCTCACCCAAGGGAAGTCAGTTTTCTCAAACTTCATGGTGGTGAGGTTTCTAAGGGAAATCACTCATCTTCATCTGCATGTGGAAGAGCCTGTTCCTTTGTGGGACCTTCATACTGTCATGGCTGTCCTTATGAGTCCTCTGTTTGAGCCACTGGCAACCTGTTATCTGTCCCTCCTGTGCCAGAAGACAGCCTTTCTTGTAGTTGTAACATCTGCAAGGAGAGTATGCAAGCTGCAGGCCTTAATGGTAGAGCCCCTGTGTACACAGTTTTTCAAGGACAAAGCGACCCTATCGCCGCATCCAATTTTTTTGTCAAAAATGGTTTTGCAGTTTCACCGTAAGCAAATGATTTATTTACTGATGTCCTTTCCTAAACTCCAATGTGGATGAACAACGATTTCACACTTGGGATGTGAGACAATGCTTGGCATGCTATGTGGAGAGACTGACTTTTCAATCACCTCATCTGTTTGTCTCTTACGTGGATCGGATGAGGTGTCAGGCAGTCTCTGTGGAAATGATTTCCAGGTGGATAACTTCTTACATTATATTAGCATATGCAATAGCTCAGACCACGCCTTCACAGAGGTTACAAGCTCATTTGATAAGAGCCCAAGCGACGTTGATAGCATTCCTCAGTGATATGTCAGTATTTGACATTTGAAGGGCTCTTGCCTGGTGTTCTGTACGTGCTTTTACCAGGCACTATGTGATTACCATGGCGTCTAGGTCAGATGCAAACTTTGGGAAGCCCGTCCTGCAGTCATTCTTTAGTAGACTCTGAGCCCCTCCTCTGTTCTACTTGTGAGTCACTTGAATGGAATACGTGCCTGCAGGCACTTGAAGAAGAAAAGACAGTTACTTGCCTTTATTGCAACTGTTGTTCTTTGAGATGTGAGTGCAGACGTGTATTCCACGATCCATCCTTTGTCATCTCTGCATCGGAGTCTCTATTCTTGACATTTGATGTGAAGGGCAGTGCTGCTCTTAAATAGCCAGGGGAGAATTAGAGCCACAGGGCATGAGCACAGCCCCTCTGGGTACTGTGAGACAAAATTCTCTGGCTTCCGTGCACTGGGTGTACACATGCCTGTGTGCAATACACGTTTGCACCCATATCTCAAAGAACAGTTATAGTACAGGTAAATAACCACCTTTTCTCTCTTCCCTCCCCATATTCTGTTTCTCAGCAATGGGCTGAGTGGTCTTTTTTTCTTTCCCTTCTGCTCTTGTCTTCCCTTTTTGAGCATTGGCAGCAAATAATGTAGTTTAACTAATTCACTACTACTTTGTGTACCTGACAAAAAGCATGTCCAGTGCTGTTCCATGTACTATGTATGGCCCTGTTGAAAATTGATGTAAGTTACATTAGAACATTGCCCAGTGGTTTAATACAGTGCTAAATCTATAAAATTAACAGAATATCAACTAGCAAGACCCTCTGATGCAAACAGGAGGGAGCTGCTACTTGGAAGCCTTGCCAGACCTGGGCATCCAATGAAGAAGTTTTTCTGGGGTGAGTTTTGTCCTGACATTCTAAGACTTTAACAAATATGTGTAATGTAGAAAAACTGATGTCTTAACAATATGAGATTCTTTAGTATTTCACCAAACTCTGGTGCTAGCTGAAATATGTGAAAACAAGTCTGCATTTTGAATACTGTAACACACTTCACGATAAAAAGTGCTATGTGAATTGAAGATATTTTCAACTCCAGCCTTGCTATTTGCCTCATGCCCATTCATGGTAACTTATTGTTAGTGTACTGGTGATATCAACTAGGGCAGCTGTGGTTCACGTAGCCTCCCGTCTTATCCATTATAAATCTCGGAAAAATAGTATTTGCATCTTGGATGTAAAAGACAAGGTACCTGTGGGCTCACAAGGAAGGTTTTTCAAAGCAGTTGGTTCAGCCTCAAAGCTGCAATAGCAGCTGAGTGACAGCTTCACTGCCATTGTACAGTCTTGTGAGTAGGGGTGCGTAGAAGGGAGAATTCACGTTCTTTCTTTCACCGCGTACAGTCCCTGTAGAATCAAACCCCATGTGTGCTGCTGTGCATTAATTACAAGGTTAGAACCAGCCTTAGATCCTGTCAACTTGCAGTCTAGTCTTTTAAAAAAGACTAGTTTTAGGTGCTACACCTAATCCTGAATCTCTCCTGACACTTTTTGTGGGTTATAGTAACATTTTCCTGTAATCATAATGTTTTTTCTCTCCCATGTTATGAAAGACTCATACAAACAGGGTAAATAGTGAAATTGGCTATGCACAAGGGTCTGTGTAGTGCACAAAATGAATGAACTGCAAAATACAGAAAAAGATATAGTCTCTAATCTTTATTACAGTGCTCTTAAGAGTTTATTGTAACAATAGGAGGTAAAAAACTTCAGAGAAGAGTAATTTTTAAAATTGCTGTCCCTTGGACTCTGACTTTCCTGGCAATCATTGTATTTAACCACAATATTAATATTAGTTAAAACTTTTTTCCCTATGTACCGGTATGTATTTTATCTCAGTATTTGTTCATGTATTCATGGCCTGAACATTCTGTGCTCCATCATGCATTCCTTGCACATCCAAAACTGTGAAATTCTTGTGCATAAGGAATCCAAGATTAGATTCTATGATTAGATCTTGTGATTAGAAAAGCACTAGTAATGTGAGGCCAAATAGCTACTTTTTTAACATTTACAGGTAATGCAGAGACACTAAAGCATGAGCCTAAAAAGAGTAATACTGATATCTACACCAGACTGAGGGATTTTTGGCAGCACTATTACTCTGCTCACTATATGAACGTAGTTGTCCAGTCTAAAGGTAACATCATTTGTTGCTTAAATACAAATTCTTACATACTGCTTTAAAGTAGAGGACTGTTTCAGCACAGAACTTACACCTGGCTGCTCATTAGCTAATGATGATTCTACTGTAGTCACCTGTATTGGTTTATAAATCCATAGAAAATGCCAGTGTTTAGCTTTTTTTCTATTTAAATTCCCTGGTAATGGTGATTGAGATCTAAGCATCAAGTGTGAAATACCGGATCTCCTGGGGGGATTCTGCGCAAAAAAATTCAAAATTCTGCATACTTTATTTGTCAAAAGAATGCAATATAATCACACCAGTTTTGGTAATTTATTTAAACTACAATACAGAAAAAAGTCACAATAACTATTCGGCATTTCCTAAACATATGAAGGTTAAGTTACAAAGACTTGGTAACTAATACCCTGAATTGCAGTTATAATACTGGATTTTCATTTAAATTACATTACAGAATACTAAATAGAAAAAAAAAGGTAGACTGTCATTTTAAATTGCTCAGACTTTCACACATGAAAGTCATACAGTTTTGCTAATCATTGTCCTGGATCTGGCTGGGTACTTTGGGAAGTGCTTGGTTCTGATTGTCCTGACATTTTATTTGCCCTCAAAGTCTTTTTTTTTTTTAAAGGGGTAAGTAAAATAAATCTTGAGCTGAATCTAACCCCACTTTGGCACAGAAAAAAAGTGAGAAAGCACATAGATCTTCCTAGCTGAGGATTCCCTTACTGTCATTTATAATAAGGCTCTTTTACATCACTTTGGCAATGTAGGGGCCTTAAAACTTTCACAGGTTTTATGCTCTTAGGGGAATTGACTAAGAATGGGAACAGTTAACTAACAATAGGAACTTTAACAATGTTGGCAGGCTACTACATTTCTGCCTCAGAGAATGAGATCAATTAACTCAGGCAAGCTGCTACATTTCTACCTCTAGCCTGCCTCGTGCATAATAAAAAGTCCTACCCTTCCACGCCAGTGAGCTGCAGTTGCAAGAGAGAGGGACAGTCTCTTTCTCTCGCTTGTTGGCATGCACGTATGCCCAGCCCCGCACCGCCCCCGATGGTGATCAACCATGTAGGGGCACACGCCCAGCCCCCCTCTCCCGTCTCTAAAGCTGCTCCAGACACGCTGGAACAGACGCGCTGCAGAATTTTTAGGCATTTTTTTGTGCAGGGGCCACAGAAAAATGTGGCCTGTATGAATTCTGCACCCACACAGGGGTGCAGAAATCTGTCAGGAGTACATAATGGTGCCCCAGTTTTGGTTAGGGGATCTTGACGCTACCATAATTGTAACAAATAGTATGTTTCGGTGCATTGCCCGAATATTTGCAGATATATTTGCATAATATTTGCAAAAAGCAGGACTATGTGAACAGAAGTTCTGCAACTATGGCTAGTCATTGGGAAGAAACGCATAGAAGTCAGTAACCATGCTACTTATTTTCATAGTCCCATATCTGTTGAAGAAAATATTATTTTCTTTTTGATTTACATAATCATTTTAGCTATGCTACAGGGACCACTAATGCATAACTCTTGGTACTGACACTTTCTCTTATTCAAAATTTTTGTGAGTTGTTAACTTGACGTATTGTATTCCTTCCTTTATAAGGAAAAATGTTTCCCATTTGACAGTCTATAATATGTGTGACCCTAGGCACCACTGTATTCACACACTACACACTGCTGCAATGATATTTGTACAAAGTATGTCTTGTGAGGTATCATGTAAAAGCTAATAACATGCTGGGTATGAATATCATTGTAAAATGCATGTATTAACATTATATGTGAAGTTATAAATTCCCTCTGTGTGATGTTACTAGAACATGATTAAGACAAGATAACCTAGTCTGGGCAAAGATGATAAACAGGTCTGCCCTAGACAAAGGAATGTGGGTTTATCAATGTGTTCAAGATGGTTTCTCTCACCCCCAGTCTCCTTTCCAGCTTTTTACTGGCTGGCCTGTCTAGGACTCATCACAGAGCTCAAATTGCATGGTTTCTTTGTCTCCTTAAGATGAAAGATAAAGACGGAGTCTTTCTCTGTTCCTTATATTCCCAAAGAAATGTCTTTGTCTTACAAGTGAGGAAAGCCTCCTGGGGATTCAGCCTTCAGTGTCTCTTTGGGGTGCAAGAGCTCTGTTAATTCTCTGTCTCTCAAGTCCAGACTCAGGATAACCCTGGCTGGTTTAGCTCAATATCTTTGTTTACTGCTATTATATAAATTGAGGTAAACTCACATTCCTTTGTCTAGGACAGACCGGTTTATCACCTTTACCTAGGCTAGACTGTCTTATCTTAAACATATTCTAATAACATCATAAGGAGGGAATTAATAACGTCACATGTTCATTTTACAATTATATTCATAACCAGCGTGTTACTAGTTTTTGTATGATGCCTCACAAGACATATTTTATACAAATATCATTGCAGTAGGGTGTGAATTCAGTAGTGCCTAGGGTCACCGTATGCTGCTCAGGTGCACAACTGTGCCAGATGTACCCCTTTTGGAGACCACTGCATTATTTATACTGTGCTTGAGAAGGTTGAGCAGACCTGCTATACTATAAGGATCTAGCAAATCATAAAGCCACAGGTGCCACCTAATCTCTCAGTTGTAGTTGTAATGGATACATATGACCATCATCAAAGCATAATCCAAAACCAGTTATCTATGGGATTTGGTAAAATTGGGGAAATCAGCCCAACAGGTTTTGAAGTTTACCCTCTGGGTCTATTGAGCATTACTGAATACTGATTTGTAGGCTCTAATGAGTCTGTTTACTCTGGGTCCCCAAGCTAATTTGGATTAATGGTGGAAGATTTTCAACATGCCTTTTCCTGAAAACTTGGCTCTATGCTCGTTAGTGAGTTACATTTCTAGCTTTCTTTTTTCTTTCCTTACTAGAAACTTTGGACACTTTGGAGAAGTGGGTGAAGGAAATCTTTTCACAGATTCCAAATAAGTAAGATACTTTACTGATGCAAAAAGAATCTGATGTGTGGCGTTGGCCTTGATGCTAGAGGCTGATTGATGTCTGCTACTCTTATGCTGACGCCTCCTTTGTTGGGTGGAGAATTGTAGTCTGCATTTGAGGTGTACTAAATGTTATGACTTTGCTTTGTGTAAAAGATAATTAGTACAAAATAGAAATTGAGAGAGTAGTTTGTAGTGTTTTAATATGGCTGTAACAGATTATAAATGTGGGTTTTCAAACTAATTCAATGCAGTTCTATCCATTGAAGTGTGCTGTCTAAGCTTTGGACACTCAACGCAAATTTTGTTGTATCTGATAATTGTTGGGATCCTAAGATGTGTCCCCTTAATTCAAAATACAATTATATATGAAACAAAATTTTTCAGTTTGTGACCAGAAATGACTCTCATTGTTCCCTCATCTCATAGCTACTATTTTGGTGTGTTTGCTATGTTGTAATATCATAGTTAAGGCTATGTTTATGTCATGGAAGTCACGCTTCCAGAGACCTCCCTGACATTTTCTGCTTCAGCCCCTGGGACCCAGGGACTGGAGCTGGCAGCCAGCGGGGCCCTGGCAGGTTCCAGCGACAGGTGACAGCTTCCTCATTGTCCCCCTGCAGGGTTCCAGTGACGGGCAACAGCCTCGTGCCAGGGGATGGGGGGGTGGGGAGAACCTCACAGCTCGCAGCCACCATGGTGGTGGGGGAAACCGTGGAGCCGCAGCAGCAAAAGTCACAGACAGGTCATGGCTTCTGTGAATTTTTGTTTATTGCCCGTGACCTGTCTGTGACTTTTACTAAAAATAACCATGACAAAATCTTAGCCTTAATCATAGTTAAGTGATTGACTAACAACCACTTCCTGAAACTGCACATCCCTGCTTACAAGATCATGGTTATTTAAAAATGGATAAGTAAACAAAGTGTGTCATGTTAGCTTTTCCATTAGAAACATGAGAGTGAAAAACCCAAGGATGCTTTCACAGCCCACGAGGCTCTCAGCCGTGTGTGTGTGGAGGGTCTTGTGTATGTGTTTTAGTGATTCTTATCTACTTAATTCTGAGTCTCTACTTTCCCCATAGATTGATCTTGCTGCCACTTTTATACGTTACCATCTGTTCCCCTTTCTCCTTGGGAAGTCAGTGAAGCTGCATTAACTCCTTTTTCCCAGAATGTTGGTAATGCTTGAGGCTGGCTGACTGGCAAATGTAATGTTCTGTACTAACTATAAAAGGGCTAAGCATTGTGGTACAGACCAAATATTTCTCCTTCTAGTTTATTTCAGCACAAGTATTAAGAAACCATACATCACTCGTGTATTGGGTCTTCTTGTGGCAGCACAATGGTATCAGATTGTCCATAATTCCACTTCCCTCTATTTTAAAATAAATCACCTTGGGCTTACTTTTCCTCCTATTATAAAGTATTACACTTCATTGTCTTCTACAGTTTATTGGTGTTGTGCAGGAGACATGCTAATGTGCTACAGATGCACAGCTATTTTGTTCTCTTCACAGGCAGAAATCTGGAAGGCATTTATTCTGCTAATGCATTTCTGTGCAAGCAAATCTGCAAAGGCGTTTGATTGGGGCCTCTCCCAAAGGCAAGGTGCAAATCTTTGTGTGACCTTACCCACACTCCAAAAATCTGTGCCATGTCATTTTCAGGAGGTTCAGTGCCACAAGTGGAGGGAACTGGAGGAATAGATGATATGCCCATAACTAGAGGGTGTGTTTGTGGAGGTGGTCAGGGAAATAGTGGCTGTTAAGTTTTCTATTAATCAGGATGGAGTGGATCTTGTGATGTGCCCTAATTCAGTGTCACATCAAAGGAGGAAATATTCTGGTTCCATAGAAATCTCAGGTTTGTATCACTTCAGAACTATGGGCACAGAGCAGCTTATACTCTCCCCTTTGTTGTCCTGTATCATGAACAGTAAACATCATGCTATAATTTTCTTTTGTTTTTGAAGTGGTTTACCCAAACCGAACTTTGGCCATCTGACACAGCCTTTTGACACACCCGAATTTTACAAGCTTTACAGGGGTAAGTGACCTTGGTGTCTTCTGTGTTGATAAGTGTTCTGAATGGGTATTGAATATACCACTGTGTAGATTCTTATTTCTTTGAGTTTTAGAATGGTTGATTTACCATCATTGAATTAGAATATGTAGTTTTGTGAATCTTTCCCACCCTTTTTACAGCAAGTAAAATCTCTTGCCCATTGCTGTTTCTTTGGATTAAAGAGACAGGAATAATCATGCATTTGCATTACAATTTATACATTTCTTCCTGTTCAGTTGTTCCAATCAGAAATGTTCATTCACTGAGCATTGCCTGGGGACTACCACCACAGGAGAGACATTACAGGTAAGATGGCACTACATCTTTTTGATGTCACACTCTGAGTATAGATGACTATTTATAAAGAATCAAATAACCAAGACTTTCTCTCCTGTTAAATTCAGCAAGAAAGAATCATTCCATGAAATGAAAACATTTTGTGATCTTTGATTTTTGGAATAGCATAGTGTGACGCTGCATGGAATATGAGTGACCATTTATTATAATATGGATACGAATATTACAAAATTGCAATGAATCATACAAGATTTGACATGTAAAGTATCAGTAGAAAAGTTATGATTTGCTAAGTATGATGACCTTGTTTATATGTATGTATCATCTTTGTATCCTGAGTTTTATATATATGCGTAATACATCTGCATCTCAAACCTGCGCTGTGTGTCTGGGTGACACCCCTAGACAGATTGGGATCAGCACTATGTAGCCTGTTTGATGGCCCATCAAGAACAATCGGCTGTACAATGAACACATTGAGAGAAGCCAGTGGCTACACTCATGAGTAAGACTCTGTGTTTGTCATAGAGGTCACGGAAGTCACAGATTCCGTGACTTCTGCAGCAGCCCCCTGCGGCTAGCCCAGGAGCTGCCTGAGGAGCTGGGGCAGTCTCGGGGCCCTCCGCCCCACAACAGCAGGAGTTTAGGTGTGGGGGGCTCAGGGCTTGGGGTTGGGGCTGGTACTTACCTGGGGGGTGGGGGGGCTTCTCTGCCTCAGCTCCTAGCTCCACTTGTTGCCTCCACCCGCAGACGCTGCCCTGACAGATCCCATTGACCACGGTTCCCAGCCAATGGGAGCTGCAGAACCGGGGCTTGGGGTGGAGCGGAGGCAGCACGTGGAACTAGGAGCTGAGGCCGCTGCTTCCCAGGAGCTGGTTAGGGAGCCTGCCTCAGCCCCAGCACCCACGCTGCCCCCCAGGCTGTGACTTGCCCCCGAGCACCCACGCCCCCCTCCACAGCACCTGCAGTGCCCCCCCTGGGCTGCACCCCCCTCCCCAGCACCCGCGGTGCCCCAAAGTCCCCCCCCCCCCAGTTTTAGTCAGGGGTATTTTTAGTAAAAGTCATGGACAAGTCATGGGCCCATGCATTTTTGTTTACTGCCCGTGACCTGTCCATGACTTTTACTAAAAATACCGATGACTAAAACTTAGCCTTACTTATGAGTTGGCAGGACATATAGGGACATGCTTGTGGACAGGGGACTCCAAGAGCTTTTCCATGCCTGTGTGCTGTGATCTTGTGTTTGGGACAAAGGATGTACAAGCCACATGGCAAAGAATATAAAAAGGCAGCTGCATCTTCTCCATTTTGTCTTCAATTCTACTTCTCACCTCTGGAGTAACTTCTTTACAAACTGAAGCTTTGAACGAAGGACTGATAGACCCAAGCTTTGAGTGTGTTCCAGAGGGATTTTACATGCCAGCAAACTCACCAATGCTGCTAAGAACCTGATACATACATATGACTTCAGAGTCCATATCTGATAGTTTTGATCATTTAACAACTTATTTTCTTTGCTTTGCTTTGCTTTTACAGTAAATCTTTAGGTTTTTAGATATTAAAGGATTGCCTTCCAGCATGGTATTTTGGGTAAGATTCAAACTAATATTGATCTGGTGATGTGGCTAGCTTTTTGGGGATCAGAAGAACATTTTGTATGGTGAATAGAGTTTTAAAGAACTTCTCACTTTACTGGACCTATTTGCTGATTGGGAACCAGAGACTGGAATGCAATAAAGGGGGCTGTGTGATTTCTTCCCCCCCGCCCCCCAGCTTCTTGATATCCAGTGGGGGCGGGTTCAGGAGCATGGTCTGTGGCTGGTTGGGGAATCTAACTACAATGATAACCACCATTTTTGGAGACTCTGTTCTCCTTTTTGCAGGCTGCCCTGACCTTGGCATTTTCAGTGTGGGCTACCTAAGGCGCCTTGGGTCACACATGATAAATTGTTGACAGTTTTAGGAGTAACAGACATACTATCTTCTTTCTATTGGTGCTCTTCATTTTACAGGCTGTCAGCTAGAACTTGTGGTTTGCAGGATCTTGTGCTGTGGAGCGACGAGGCTTCTTTGAATAGGTTCTCTTTGATGCTGCATGCTTTTTAAGGCTTGCTGTCCATACTCCTACTCTTTGCAATTAACTGTTAAATTGTTAATTTTCTGATATACAGCACTTATAAATCCGTGTTGTACTTTTGATATTGCTTTGGTAACGAGTGGAAAGGTATGCAATAGTCTGGCTTCTTCAGAGTCAAACTGCAGATGTGTTGAATGTAGTATCTGTTTATAATATGTTTGCAGCCATATTACTTTAGTTGGTGATCCGATCAACTCTTATAAACAAATTGGGCCTGGTCTGTCCCTGGACAGAAGACGTCCAAAGAAAGCCTAGTAGCCCATGAAGTTGTGTTGGTGATACACTGAGTAACACACTTCTCTCAGATTCTGTTCTGAACCATTATTACTGGACATTTCCTTTTGAATCAGTGGTAGGAGGCACAAAACTGCTGGAGGTGATGTCTTTGTAGTGAGACACACAATAAAACCTCAGAGTTACAGACACCCTCAGGAATGGAAGTTGTAACTCTGAAATGTTTGTAACTCTGAACAAAACGTTATGGTTGTTCTTTCAAAAGTTTACAACTGAACGTTGGCTTGATGCAGCTTTGAAACTTTACTATGCAGAAGAAAAATGCTTTCCCTTTATTTTTTTAGTAGTTTACATTTACACAGTACTGTACTGTATTTGCTTTGTGTGTGTGTGTGTGTGTGTGTGTGTGTGTGTGTGTGTGTGTATGTGTGTTTCTGCTGCTGCCTGATTGTATACTTCCGGTTCCAAATGAGGTTGACTGGTCAGTTCGTAACTATGGTGTTCGTAACTCTGAGGTTCTACTGTAAAACAAAGGTCATGCCTATTTGTGTTCGTTAAAATGTTGTGGCATTTTCAGCCAAAGTATAGTTGTTAACTTCAGCAGCCTGGCTAACTTTCAGATCAGTAACAGTATTCTACCTGTCTAAATTCCTTTGTATTTTCAAATGGACACAATCTCTTTTTCATAGCATTGCTGTTTAAAGGTGTCACTTCAATAGTGGGTGAAGTGGGCAGTGAATTTATAATTGTTTGTCTAGTGATTTGGAATCTTTGGATGAAAGATATTATCTAAATATCTGTATTTTGATTTGCTAATTATTAATCTACATTAGAGTTTTACATGTTGGAGTTTTACATTTCTTTAACTCTTTTTAGGGTGAAGCCACTTCACTATATCTCCTGGCTGGTAGGACATGAAGGCAAAGGCAGTGTTCTTTCCTTTCTTCGGAAAAAGTATGTATTTCTTTAAATGTGAGACTTTAATACTGTGTGCATTGAAATAAAGAGTGAAGGCGGAAATATTTCCTCAAATAAAAATTAAAAAATGTGATCTACAAAGCTTGAGACAAACTCAGTGATTCTCTTTAAAACCTGTAGTATTCATGTGACTTAAGCAACGCAAAATACTCTGAAAATGTACCCGGTGGTGTCTTTAGTACTAAATACAAGAAATTCAACTACGAAAGAATCTCCAGAGCAACACTGAAAGCACTTTCGCTGAAAACTTATATTTTCAAAAATATTTTGGTTCACACTGAATAAATCCAAAAAAGGTATATGCCCTGCATTTTTGAATGTCAGTGCTTTGTATTCTTGTAGAAAGCTATATTCTTTCCATTTGCTTTGGATTAACTTTTAAATTCCTTAAAGTGGCCTCCATTAGGCAGGTCCGAAATAAGCTTGAACAATGATGCTGTGATAATAATTAGACATCAAGAAGGTTTTTAACTGGAGTAATTAATAGTGGGTATAACTCTTCAATAGATTTTGGGCTCTTGCGTTATATGGGGGAAATGGTGAGACAGGATTTGAACAGAACTCCACCTACTCTATATTCAGCATTTCTGTGACTTTGACTGATGAAGGTTACGAGCACTTCTATGAGGTAAAATTCCATTATAGCTTGGATTTCTTACCACTGTGCTATGTCCAAAAGTTAAAGAAAGTTCATCAGTTTGTCCTTCTGTCTTCAGGTTGCGCATGTTGTATTCCAGTATCTGAAAATGTTGCAGAAAAGAGGGCCAGATAAAAGGTAACTTGGTTCGAATCAAGTGATCATGACCCCGGATATCACTGGGGTTTTTCCTCTTTTCCATCCTTTTCTGCATTATAGTGTGCTTTTTCTTTTTGGATAAGCAGATATTAGAACAGATGCAATGAGAAAATGGTGGAAAATGAGATTGTTAAAAAAAATGGAAGAATTAATTGTAGGGTTACTACAGTTGTTACTGTTACAACTGTTACTGGACCAACTTCTGTTGGTGAGAGAGACAAGCTTTTGAGCCAGACAGAGCTTTTCTTCAGATCTGGGAAAGGTACTCCCACGCTGTGATGAAAAGGCTATTTTTCTATGGTTATGCAAGCACTGGTGGATCACCAGGGATGTTTCACTGAGAGCAATGTGGGCTGGTCAGGAAAGGTGCATGACGCTTGCACCTTTAAGAACACACGACTATTCAAGAAGGTGCAAGCAGGGCCGTTTTTCCCTCAGACAGTGGATTAACAATTGGCAATGTTGACATGCCAATAATGATCTTGGCTCATGAAGCTGTACAGTGGCCTCCTCGACAACTTCAAGGAAAGATTCAGCTACTGGCTCAGCAGGTATAGAAAATGACAGCTGAGTGTGCTTTTGGCAGATTGAAGGGGCGCTGGTGGTGCTTACTCACTAGATTAGATCTTATTGAGAAAAATATCCCAATGGTTATAGCTTCCTGTTGTGTCCTGCATAATAATTATGAGGTAGTAGGTGAAAAGTTGCCACTGAGGTAGAGGGCGGAGATAGAATGGCTGTCTGCTGACTTTGAACAGCCAGACACAAGGGCCATTAGAAAAGCTCAATGTGGAGATATGTGGCTGAGAGAGGCTTTGAAAGAGCCTTAATGGTCAGCCACTGAATGTGCTCTACCTAGCCTTGACAGTTTGGGGGTGTTAGGAATTGTGTAATGTTTGGTGTGCATTTATGAATATCACGCTTTTAATGAACCTATTAATTATGCTGTGTTTACTGTACATTTATAATATTAATGTACATGTATAATAGTATGTACATTGTTTTTAACTGACCCTATGAGTTCTGTGGTCCTGTTCAATTACAATTAGAATTGTCCTGTTCTTTGAGTAGTGCTATTTGTTCTGTAGTATATGTTATGAAGTAGTAAAGATTAATTTATTTCCAAAATATAAAAATTTATTGCATATCCAAAACAGGGGAAAACATTAATGTGCAATTAAAATCAATACAGTGCGCAAACATAAAATAAATTAATGGAACAGAACTTTAAAATCAGAATGGTAGAAAACATTTGTCTACATTTCAATCCATTTCTGCCAAATATACTCCAATTGTGGCTCTCCCAGGTCAGTGTAGGTAAAGCTGTGATTTTCCTACTACCCCCCAGCATGGAGTAGTAGGGGTACAGATATGGCTCATCGTGCCATGTGGAATATTGGGAGGTATTGAAGCTCCTGAAATGGAGTTCTCCATTGACTACAAAGGTAGGCGAGTCCATGACTGTTTTACCTTTAGGTCAATAAGAGTCTGTTTGCTGCCTGAGAAACCCTGTTTTGTCCTGGCGAATCTCTCTCTCTTTTTCCTGCTGGGACTCCTGAGTCTTTCTCCTGTCTGTTCTTTTGTTCTATCTGCTATATTCACCCTCTAGGCTCTCTTCATGATCTGATGTCCTCCCTAGTCGTCTTCTTTCTCCTTCTCATCAGTGTCAGGTGTTCTGCAGGTGTGGCCGGGACACGCCTTCAGGCTGCAACGATGGCAGCTACATACATAACAGACAGATGGATTTACAGTCACAATGGAAAATGAAAGATGAGTTTGAGAACTCCTTTCCCTTATACCTATAAGAGTTTTAAATATGACCTGCTTATTGACACTTCAGCTTTGGAGTGCCTCTGCATAGCACTGCTCTCCAGCCGCAGCCATTCTTAGTATGGCCCGCCAGGATGGGGCGGAAGTGAGGAGGGAAATAGTTTTGTAGTGTTAAGCAAAAAAATGTTGTGCCATTTTTCCTGTGAGTACATGTACAGGGCAATGACACTGAGTACTGGCACTTTTTTCCACAAGTGGCAGTGATTTTAACTGGTATCTCACTCCTGAGGGTCACAAAGGCACAGAGAACACAGCTACTGCTAGATTCATTAAGCCACGTGGGCTTGTGTGACGCTAGCCTGTTTATGGAAATGGTGCCTGCCGAAGTCATCACAGAGTGTAGTGGGAAAGAAGTTACCCTACCATAGAGGAAGAAGTAAGGCAGCCATCCCTAGAAACCTTTGGGAGAGGATTGCAGAGTACCTCCATGAAAATTCCATCAAGATCTCTCAGGAGGATACAAGGAACAGCCTTATGTATATAAACAAACTGCTCTGCGTGCCTCCCTGCCATCGCCTAATCCTACAGGAGAACAAAAAGCAGATTCCAGCTTTGTCTCTTTTTGTTGTACCCTTACTTCTTCTCATATGAGTAAAACATTGAAAAGTAGACACCTGTGTCCTGCTAACTTCAGGTAGGGCTGGGTGCCATCTTCACATTTAAACATTTTAAGGGAGAATGCATGCACATACTTACCCGAGATTCCTTCTCCTGGATTGGGCTGGATGGTGCTCACTGATGGGACTGGCTAGACTGCGGAGGAGTCTTAAAAAGATTCTAGCTCATGGCATAGCTGGACGCCTCATCGCATTTCTCTTCTCCTCCTCACTGTTCAAGGCAGGGGTCTCTCTCTTGGGCTCCATTGAGGTATCCGTCGTGGTCAGTGGAGATCCCACTGGCGCTCCACAAAGTCTGTCATGCACCTCTTTGTTAAAGCAGCAGGATTGCGGCATGGCACTAGATCAACTCTTGCCCTCCCTGGTCTTTTGGAATGCCTGCTGCAGTTCCTTCATTTTCACGCAGCACTGCTGCTGATCCCTATCATACCCCTTCACATACACCTCTTGTGCTATCTTTTCATAGACGTCCATGTTTTGATGACTGATATGTAGCTGTGTCTGCTGAGCCTCTTCTCTCCACAGGCCCTGAAGATCCAATACTTGCTGTCTACTTCAGGCAGGAGTGTTTCTAAAGCAGTGATACTCAGACTGTGGCTCTTGAGCCACAAGTGACTCCTGAATGTGTCTCCTGCATGGCTCTTTGCAGCACATGATATTAAAACACTCTGTGATTTAATTATTAACCAATAAGGATGCTTTTACTATGTTATTAACCAATTAAGTTATCAACTTGCACTAAAATTAACTTATTTGCTGTGAGTATGTGTGTGTGTGTGTATATATATATATAGAGAGAGAGAGAGTAAATATTTCCCCAGTCATACAGTTTAAGTATTAATTGTACTATAGTAAACGAAATAATGAATTTACACTGCTGTGGATCTTTTGGGTAATGCTGATTGCTAATATGGATCCTGAACCATTGAGGTCTGAGTATCACTGGTCTAGAGTGTTGTGTAGTTGGCGTGGTCGGTCGGTTAATTTCACACAACAAGTGAGAACTGCTACTGCTAGGTGTGCTTGCCAAGCTGAGCAATCAGGAAAAGGCATTTTAAAAATATGGGCGTTTTAAAGGGAGCAGTGTGGCTTCCGGTCTCCAGGACGCCTGGGCAGTGGAGTTCACAACTGTGACCAGAGTGGTTACTAATGGACATTGTGGAACAGCTGCTGGAGGACTATTAGAGACAACCTAGGTCATGCAGTCTCTACACTTGCACTGTGTCAACTATAGTATGTTGACCACGGCTCAGTGCTGTTCAGGGAGGTGGTTTTACTTCTTCACTGTAATGGGGCACTTACATTGGCTGGAGAAAAATTTGAGTGTAGACACATGCACAAATAAGACAATGCAAAGTGACTTACATGAACCTAACTTTGTAGTGTAGACAAGGCCATACTGGTGTAACCTCTTGTGCGGACACTCTTATTTTGGAATAAGACTGACTTTTTGCTGTTTACATTATGTTCTTTGGAAGGAGTTTCAACTAAACAGAAAAAAGCCAATATTATTCCAGAATAAGAGTGGTCACATGTGAGATTATACCAGTTTATGAAAGTACAACTGATAAAATTTTCCTGTATCGACAAGCCCTTAGTGGAAGAAAAAAAAAAGGGAAAACTCAAAGACTCGCTTGCATGCCACACCTTTCCCAAATAGTGAGGTCAAGCAATTAAGGGTAGTGTATGGTTAGATTATGGAACTGAGAGTCAGGAATTCTCAGTTCTGTTGCTGGCTCTTCCATTTATTTTGTGTCTGCCACTGACTATTTGTGCTTCAGTTTCTCCATCTGAAAATAGGGGATAAAAACTTGCAGGAGTAATGAGGATTGATTGACAATTGTTAAATGCTTGTGATTCCCAGACAAAAAGATTCATAGATTCTAGGACTGGAAGGGACCTCGAGAGGTCATCGAGTCCAGTCCCCTGCCCTCATGGCAGGACCAAATACTGTCTAGACCATCCCTGATAGACATTTATCTAACCTACTCTTAAATTTCTCCAGAGATGGAGATTCCACAACCTCCCTAGGCAGTTTATTCCAGTGTTTAACCACCCTGACAGTTAGGAACTTTTTCCTAATGTCCAACCTAAACCTCCCTTGCTGCAGTTTAAGCCCATTGCTTCTTGTTCTATCCTTAGAGGCTAAGGTGAACAAGATTTTTCCCTCCTCCTTATGACACCCTTTTAGATACCTGAAAACTGCTATCATGTCCCCTCTCAGTCTTCTCTTTTTCAAACTAAACAAACCCAATTCTTTCAGCCTTCCTTCATAGGGTCATGTTCTCAAGACCTTTAATCATTCTTGTTGCTCTTTTCTGGACCCTCTCCAATTTCTCCACATCTTTCTTGAAATGCGGTGCCCAGAACTGGACACAACACTCCAGTTGAGGCCTAACCAGCGCAGAGTAGAGCGGAAGAATGACTTCTCATGACTTGCTCACAACACACCTGTTAATGCATCCCAGAATCATGTTTGCTTTTTTTGCAACAGCATCACACTGTTGACTCATATTTAGCTTGTGGTCCACTATAACCCCTAGATCCCTTTCTGCCGTACTCCTTCCTAGACAGTCTCTTCCCATTCTGTATGTGTGAAACTGATTGTTCCTTCCTAAGTGGAGCACTTTGCATTTGCCTTTGTTAAACTTCATCCTGTTTACCTCAGACCATTTCTCCAATTTGTCCAGATCATTTTGAATTATGACCCTGTCCTCCAAAGCAGTTGCAATCGCTCCCAGTTTGATATCATCTGCAAACTTAATAAGCGTACTTTCTATGCCAGTATCTAAGTCGTTGATGAGTTGAACATGTATTTCTCGTGCAGTCACCATGGTATCCAGGTCATATAGATGTACAAATTATTATTACTGCAGACAAACTAGCTTAAATTTTCAGACTCATATCTTGTTAGAAATAGTGTGTGATTAATCACTTGACAGGGTAATGGGTATATATATATTTTTTCCCACCCACAGAATTTGGGAAGAGATTCAGAAGATTGAAGCTAATGAATTTTATTTCCAGGATCAGGTACTAAATTAATCTTCAAATGTTTTCTTTGGGGGTATAGATCCTAAGCCCTAGATTTTTGAATTGTAATTGGGGGTTTTTCTATGTAACATTCCATAGTCAGTGAGAGTTAGATGGTTCTAACATCATGAGTCTTTGAAAATATAGTCTTACATAGATGAGGAAGAAGAAGCATTTGTTAAGTAGAAAGAACTTATATTCTAGATAGAGAAATGTTAAACTTTATGACTTGTGAAGTTGTTCTTTAATAAAACAAAATATGATTTGATTTCTTTGGTATATGGTGCTCTTCCAAGAGCTGTTTTCTTTTCCTCATGTTTTGTTTTCTCCCACTCCTTAAGGTCAGTTTCTCTTTATCATTCAGTTTAGATTGTAAGATACTTGTTACAGGACCCTTATCTTATTCACCTGTGAATCAGGGTGTATAAAAATAGATTTTTAAAATTAAAATTAAATATAGTTTTTTAAATAAACCTTTTTGAAAATATGGCAACCTATCTTAAGTCCTAAACTTACTATAATATAGTAAAATTATTTAAATTAATTAAACAAATTTTAAACGGTACATTTTTGCTTGCAAGTATTAAAGAAAGTCAAATCATTGAGCTAGCTAAATACCTAAAATCACAGTTTATTGAAGTGCCAAACCAGCTTTTGACAGCAGTAATTTCTTCTGCAGCTTCAGAGAGAATAGTTTCTTCATTTTAGTCTGTTCAGGTAATTCAGTTCAGTGACTAGATCATTCAAAGTTAAGAAACTAATTGAGAATTGAAAAGCAAGAAATCTTGTTTTTGTCATCCAATCTCTGAATAAAAACTAGGTCTGAGAGGATGAAGTCTACTAGTTTTAAAATCTTGAAGGATGTGGTGACCAGAAACAATCAGTTCAATTCACTAACTATGGATAATACTTCCTTTTTTAAATAAATCAGTTAGTTTCAAATGGAAAACATGTTTTAGAAACTTACTTTGTTAGGCATTCAACACATTTAAAGTAGTTTTATTTACCTAATAAAAAATTAAATGCTATTTTTGTGCATTTAATTGAATTTTAATTTCCACCCAAATAGAACTTGATACAAATCAAAAGTAAAAAAGTAATCATCCAGTAAATAAAAGATGCATCCATTCACCATTTTCTAACATAAGTAAAAATTAGGAATGTGAATAAAAGTTAAGGTACATAACAGCTTAAATAAATGTACAGATATACTGTATCCTCCTGGTTAGCAAAAAGAAGCACCAGATGTTGTGTAAAGCTATATTTAGTTGCAAATCAACATGTTTTAATAGTTCTCAACCAATGAGAATCTACCTGTCTTTAGGAAAATAACAAAAAAACAAAAACAAATGCAAAATAATATTAAAATTGATGAATGAAAATAAAGTTTCCTGTTTGCTGATTTAAATCATGATTAAAATAGGGATTTAAATTACTTTGGTTTAAATCAATCCACTGTACTGTGAAGTAATATGAACCTTAATGGTGTGCTATAAACAATTATGGTTATTTTCTTTTAGTGTTTCTGCATATTCTCACTTGCGGGAAGTAGTTCCCGCACTGCTGAACTTTGGGGAATTTACTGAAAAACAATGGCCACTGGAATCACATAAATGTCTCTTCATGGCACCACATGTTCAGTGCTGCTGTTATAGCCACCTCCACTAACCACCCTAACCCTAACCACCTCCACTTCTTTTCCATGGATAATTTCAGGTATAGGCATCATTGCTGTGTGACCAGAGAGTTTTTTCTTGTTCTTTACCAAGAGTCTTAACTTTTTTGTTTTAGTTTTGACATTTTCAGATAATTCCTGACACTGAATCTTCTCCAGATGAAAATGTTAGGGTTTCTTCAGCTTCTTCTCCTTATGAGAATGCTTTACCATTTCACAGACTTGTGGATAGAATGGTGATGACTGAAACTTTCATTGGTCACTGTCATAAACAGATAGTTAAGGGTTAAAAGCCTCTTTTACCTGTAAAGGGTTAAGAAGTTCACCTAGCCTAGCTGACACCTGACCAGAGGAACCAATGGGGGGACAAAATGTTTCAAAAGGAACGAGGGAAGTTCCCTTTGTCTGGGTCAGTTTCAGTTTTGGCCAGAGTGGAAAAGATCAAGGAATCAGCTTCTTATCAGAGTAGTGAGTATTAGAAAAGGAATAAATAGGTTTTGTTTATTTTCTTTTTGTAACTTGTCTTGTACAATTAGGGGAATAATCAAATTGGGTATTCTTTTGTGTAACTAAGTTTTGCCCAGGGGAACATCCTCTGTGTTTTGAATCTGTTGTCTGTGAGAGTAGCTGGTATGCTAATCTCTCCCAGAGGTTTGTCTTTCACCTTTCTTTTCTTTAATTAAAAGCATTCTTTTTAAGAACCTGATTGATTTTACCCTGTTTTTAAGATCCAAGGGGATTGGGGCTGGACTCACCAGGAATTGGTGGGGGGAAAGAAGGGGGATGGTTAAATTCTCCTTGTGTTAAGATCCAAGGGGTTTGGATCGGTGTTCACCAGGGAATTGGTGGAGGAGTCTCTCAAGGCTACCCAGGGAGGGAAAGGTTTTGGGGGGGAAGACAGAGTTTCCCAAATAACTCATAAATCATTTGGATGGTGGCAGCCAGACCAGATCTAAGCTGTTAATTGAGCTTAGGGGTTCACATGCAGGTCCCCACATCGGTACCCTAAAGTTCAGAGTGGGGGTGAAACCTATGACAGTCACAGTGGAAGACCCTTCCTATCCTGCGTTCTCCCCAAAAAATAAAATCATCCTACCAATATTAGACAGACTGTTGCAACCTGCAAAAGCAGTTTTGTCTACCTCTTCATCTTGAAAAAAGCTGACAAGTTATATCATTTAAAAAGTGAGGGGTTTTTTTTCTTTCACATGCATCCTACCATTAACTCTTCAGTAGAGGCAATAGCAGACCATAGATCTAGAGGAAGACAGTTGCAGTTTACTCCTTCTGAAAAAGGGAGGGAAGGAAAAGGACACAATTTGTAGAAAGAGATTTTCTTCTGCTTTGCTCAGAATTAGAGTGGCAATATTACCAGGCAATGATGTCGCAGAATCAATATTATTCATGGGAAACGATACCCAGGTTTCCAAAAGCACTCCCAGAAGAACAACAGGAGTTGGCTAATACCTTAGTAGCTGAAGGTCAGACAGTGTCAAAACATGCAGTTAAAAGAACATCTTTTGAGGGATCAGATTCAGCAATGAGAGCAGTTGTGTCTGCTTTATAGATGTGCTATAGAAACAAAATTGAAGGTAGATGACTGTCCCTTGATAGATGATGGATTATTTAGCAATAAGACTGCTGAGATACTGGAGAAGATGAAGGACAAAAGGTCTACTGCAAAATCTACCTGTTTACAAAAATAAGGACCTCTGTACCTATCTTTAAGTCCTTGAGGCAGTTCTACTCCCACATCATCTTTGCCATCTTATTATTCTCAAAGATGTCAATTTCAACACCAAAATATTTCCTTTGTAACCATAGCAGAGAAGGGAGCCTTTTAAGAGATGAATTAAGGGGAAGCAACCTTCATTTTTGACTTCAGGTTCGAATGTCAGGCTTCAAGTTTGATATGAGGATTGGGAGCTTCAGACCAGTCTGTGCTGATCCTCTCTCCCCACCCTTGAAGATAAACTTTCCTGTTACATCTGCAACTGAATTCTGTCACGTCTGAAAAATGGAATCTGGAGAAAACTGAAGAAGGTTATGCCATTCAATTTGAAGCCCTTCTTCCACTCAATGCATCCTCCCCCTTCTATCTCTATTTAGGGACCCATTTCATCAGACTGCGTTAAGATGGAGATTCAGTCCTCGTTAGAAGTGGGAACATTAGAGAAAGTGCCAAGGAAGTTCAAGGGTCAGCGTTTCTATTCCAGATATTTTCTGATATCAAAGAAAGATGGAGGGCTTTGTCCAATATTAAATCTACAGAAACTCAGTGCTTTTATCAGAAAATAGTTTCCACTTGTTGATTTAAGTATCCCTCATGCCATCCCTTTCAACCCTAGATTGGCTTGCAGCTCTCGATCTAAAAAGTGCTTATCTCTATCAGACCAAGGCATTGCAAATACCTTTGTTTCATTGCTGGACAAAATAACTTCCAATACAATCTTTAACCTCTCTACAGGTCTGCCCCCTCCTCCCCTGGAAATTACAAAATACCTATCTGCAGTAGTGGCTTGTTTGACACAATAGGGTATTTTTGTTTACTCTTATTTAAAAGATTGGCTCAATAAAGCCTCATTAGAAGATGGCTTTTCCAGAAACCTATATTACACATGTTTCCTCTTCAAGAGGTTAGGACTCCATGATAAACATGAAAAAGTCTCTTCAGCTACTTTCACAGTGGATTTGGTTTATAGGAGCAGTTCTCAACTCTCAGGAGGTCAGAGCATTTCTTCCAGAAGATATTTCTGAAGCTTCAATCTGCCAAAATGGTGGCCCATCAAAATCTTACTTGGAAAGTACAGTAGAACCCTATTTATCTGACCATCCATTATCTCTGGCTTTCCGCGTTAAACAGACAAGCAGCAAACACAGGTCCAGAAGGGGGTGATCACTCCTGTGGCCACTAGATGGTGGAGCAGCATTGCACTTTCCCATTCTTCGGTTTATCTGGATTTCTGATTAACTAATCTGGCCCTGGTCCCAATTAGATCGAATGAGCTGTATGTTCTTTCTAGGTTTCATGGGCCTTGTGTCTTCAGCCACTTGTGTTGTACTTTGTGCTCAGCTCAGAGTGAGAAGTCAGCAGCATTGACTGGCATTAAATTACAGACCAACTATAGAAGCACATTCACAAGATTGATCACCCTAAAAGAGATACTGCTATCTTTGACATGTACTCAGTGTGCCAGTGACCTGGGAGCAGTGTTTATCCTTCCAGCTCTGTTGAAAACAATCACCTTCGTTACCTCCAACCAGGCATGGGGAGCACATTTCAACTAGTTAACGGTTTGAGGTAATTGGAGTACTCAGGAAAGGAGACTGCGTACAAATATCCTGGAACTGAGAAAAATTAATTGGGTTCTCAAATCTTTTCTATATTGCATGCCGAATGAGGTACTGCATGCAGGCCATCACAGACAACATGACAGCAATGTATTATATTAGCTAACAGCGGGGGGTTCACTCTTCTTTGTTATGAAAGGAAGCAGTGACATTATGGGACTGGGGTATCTAGCACAACATTAGGTAGCTGTATACCTAATAGGCAGTGACAACAGTCTGGTGGTGGGTCAACAGAGCAAAGATATAATGGAACTTCATGAGTGGTCGTTAAAGAAATTGGTGATAGACAAGATCTTCACCCTGTGGGGATTCCTGGACGTAAATCTGATCATGATCAGACAGAATTCAAGATGTCCCAAGTTTTGCTTGAGAGCAGGGAAAGTCAATCTACCCATATTGGACTCTTTTCTCCTGAACTCGGGGAAGTGTCTGTTCTATGCTTTTCACCCTTCCCTCTCATCCATTGTGTGATGAAGTCGATAAGACAGGATGGAACAAGGATAATTCTGGTTGCCCACCACTGCCACAGCAACAGTGGCACTCGGACTTCTTCAGCTCTCCCAGGGAGTATACAGACCTCTCCTGGTGTTACTGAACTTCTTAATTCAACAGGAGAACAGAATTTATCATCTGGACCCTTAATCACTGCACCTGACTGCATGGGCTATAGGACTTGAATGGTCCTTGGAAAATCTTGTCCTTTAGAAGTGCAGGAAATATTGATTAACATTAGAAAACAAGCAACAAGCACAGGTGGACTAGATTTGTGAAGTGAATAAGAGAGAAACTATTGATTAACATTGGCGCACCAGTACATTATATTATTGAATACTTGATTCATTCAGATCTTCCAGGTCTTTCCATCTCCTCCTTTAAAGGATATGTAGCAACTATAGTCCACTGTGCATTAACTGATAATAAATCTATCTTGTCACAAAACAAAGTTAAGAAATTTATGAAGGGACATGCCAATATGCAACTGCCTATAAAAGACCCAAATACCATCTTGGAACCTCAATTTAGTGCTAATGCAATTCATGAACCTCAGCTGGAAATGCTTCTCCAAGAAGAGAAAGAACTATAAGAAGGGAGAGTAGACACCCCAAATGATCTCTTCCTCTCTACCTATGGCATTCACAAGACCTGAAGCAGCATTGGGGGGAGGGATCCTGACTGAAGGAGATTCATCCAGTAAGACTGCTGAAATGTGGTGAGAGAGACTTCGCTTTGAATTCACTTCAGTTGTTAAGTTAGGCATTAGATGCTTTTTATTTTTATTTTTCTTGTAATCTGTTCTGACTCTTATACCCTTGTTACTTGTATTCACTCAAAATCTATCCTTTTGTAGTTAATAAACTTGTTTTATCTAAACCAGTGTGTTTGGATTGAGGCATTTGGGAAACTCCATTTGGGATGACAGGATTTGTGCATATAATTTTCTATTAATAAAATGACAGACTTTATATGAGCTTGTATTGTCCAGGAGAGAGCTGGGTAGTACAAGACTTACATTTCTGGAGAAAGTTTGGGGCTGGGAATTTGCTGCTGTTACTCTGCAGTGTAATTCAAGAGTGGCTGGCTATCACATTCATACAATTTAACTGGGAGTAATTTACATGCTGGAGGCTGTGTGAGCAGACCAGGAGTGGTAGCTTTCACAGTAAAGCAGTGTAAAAGGCACCCCAGATTGGAGAACGGGACACAGCTGTTTATCGGTCCAGATTCTACCCTGGATAATGTCACAGTTGATCAGACACTTAATTTCATAGAGCAGTTCTACAGTCCCTGTTCAATCAGGACTCTGAGTCCCACCTTGTTTGTGAGGTACAGCTTGCCAAACTGTCCTGTGAGTGGGAATATGTAGAAGATGGTCAAAGAAATGAAGGTTGGTTACTTGTAACTGGAGTTCTTTGAGATGAATTCTGTATATTCACACTCCTTCCCCACCTTTGTTGGAGTTCTAATAGAATTCTGACTCTGGGGAGGTTAGAAGAATGAACTGAGATGGCAAAGGGTGCCCCTTTTATAGCCTTGTCCTCAAAATGTTCAGGAACACAGAGGGGAAGAGTAGGAGGGGTGCATGAATTTTCTAATGGGCACTGCTATGAGAAGGTTCCACCATCTGAGGGCACGTCTTCACTATCCACCGGATCAGCGGGTAGCGATCGATCTATCGGGGATCAATTTAGCGCGTCTAGTGTAGACGCGATAAAATCGATCCCCGATCACTCTGCCGTTGACTCCGGAACTCCACCGCAGTGAGAGGCGGAAGCGGAGTTGACGGGGGAGCGGCAGCGGTTGACTCGCCGCCGTCCTCACAGCCAGGTAAGTCGACCTAAAATACGCAACTTCAGCTACGCTATTTGCGTAGCTGAAGTTGCGTATCTTAGGTCGACACCCCACCCCACCCCCGTAGTGTAGACCTAGCCTGAGTTGCATCTCCCTGCCCATCCCATGAGTGTGACTATTCAGAATCTATCTTGAAGAACTCCGATTACAGATAAGTAACCTTCATTTCTTTTCTCAAGGATAATGGTGAGAGAAACTGAAGCTCAGAGAGGGTCTCCATGCAAGGGGACCTAATGCACTCAATTCCCTCTGATTTAAATGGAGGCGAATGTCCTCAGCACATCACAGGATCAGGCCATAAGTGAGGGAGCTGTCGTGGGGACACGGATTGTATGAAACGGTTAATTGTCTTGCTTGTCTCTGAAATAGTGTGGGGCTTCATGCAGCAACACTGTGTTTGACAGAATTCTTTCAACATGCCCACACACTTTTTACTACCATGGCTGCACCAGTGCATTCTGGGTCTCCTCAATACTGTTTTTGAGAGCCATGCTTATAGGTAACTTCAGAAAGTAAGGCCAGTCTGAACTGTGGGATGGAGTTAGGCTAAATCATTGAATTAGTGCAGCAGTAGTGATATTTTCTGGATTCCCCTCTGCACTGGTAAGAAATATTGTAGACTTCACTGCATTAGCCACGTGTGAGCTGCAGCCACTCACTGGTACAACTGGCACCTTTTATAAAACAACCAAAAAACCCCTAAAGCCCACCAACAACACAGACAGCTGCCACCTGTGAATATGAGGCATATATGTGTTCCAACCAATGGTATAGACGAGACCATAATTCTAGCGAGGATAATATGGTTATTCTCTTTGTTTTTGTAAAAGTAGCATCAAACCTTATTATTTCTCTGTACTTAATCACTAGATAGGCAGAAGGGACCATTTCTTCATTGTTTCTTCTTAAGGAAGGCCCTTCTAATGTTGCATAATTGTTTATGAATTGCATTTAGACTCAATAACCAAAACCAAAACTCTGCAATGCAGCACACAAGTTCTACTCAGCAAAAAGTGTTAAGTTTTAGTTGTCTGTTGTGTGAAACACAATTTTACTCATTTTACAGGCTGATCCAATTGATTATGTTGAAAGTCTTTGTGAGAACATACATATCTTTTGTAAGGAGGACTTTCTGACGGGCGATCAGCTCCTGCTGGAATACAAGCCTGAAGTAAGTAGCCCTATAGCTTTCAATGTGTATATTTGAGCTGGATAAGTTATTTATTGAGGGTGTACAGGGAATTTAGGCTTATTGAATCAGGTTTTCTAGATTAATTGGATCACTTTTATACTTTTTGAGTGCAGAAAACAAATTGCTTGGTTTAGGAGTTTATTTTTAGTCCTTTGTCTTCTGAACTTTCGGAGTAATTTAAAAATACAGTTGGACAGGAGTAGCTAAAGTTGCATTTTAACTGAGTTATTATTCCTTTATCTTTGTAGATCATTGCTGATGTCCTTAACCAGCTCTGCCCTCTGAGAGCAAACCTTGTTCTGTTGTCTGCTGCCAGTGAAAGAAAATGTCATCTAAAGGAGAGATGGTTTGGGACACAGTACAGTGTGGAAGGTAAAATGACCCGCTAAAGTGTTTAGAGATCTTTTAAAGTGCTCATTGAGACCATTAAAAAGGTGACAGTGCAATGTGCAGCCACACAGGAGTGAGAATGCAGATAGACACACAGAAACATCAGAAGGAAGGTATCTAGTTCTAGGGGTCAGCAACTAGGTACTGATGCAGTAGCTACTGCCCTATTAAATCTATCTGCTGTTAATAGACTAATTTCATGTTTTTCACAGATATTGACAAATATTGGAGTGATTTATGGGCCAGTGACTTTCAGTTAAATCAGGACCTGCACTTACCTGAAGAAAACAAATATATAGGTGAGTGAGACACTAGAATTTGGTTGGACTCTGTCATGTTTCTCTTCCCCATTCTGCTCAGTTTCAGAATGGGAGGTTCTGAGAAATGATCTTTTTCTTTTAAATGAATGTGTGGTTTCAAACTGTTCCTTTTGGAATGGAGAGAAAACATGGAAACATTTGTTTGTCTGAGCTTTTATTAAAGCATCCTTTTAATAAGTTTAAATGTTAGGCCAAATTTAATCTGAAAATGTCTGTTTTAAGATATTCTTAGTGCCCAACAGAGCAGCAACGATGCACTCATGAGTAGATTGCATAAAGCTATAGACCTGAGAATCTGATATACTGAGAGAGGCCGTGTTGTTTGGTTATCCCTGTTCTTTTGGGAAAAATAACACAGACTCTTATAGCAACTGGATCTGCCATCAGAAGTAAAGAGAATGAAGCACTTATCTCTTGAATCAGACTTACTAGCCTATCTGTTATTCACTTCAGGGTTGGCACTGGATATGAGCCAAAGATCTGGTATGCGATCTAAATTCATGACCTTTGGTTCCAGAAGGCAGTGTGCTATTAAATACACTATGGTGACATAGAAAAGAGGAGAGCAGTTTGTTTACAGTTTTGCAAGTTGCACACTTGTGCCAATGGTTGTGGATTTGAAATATAGTAACCCACATATTCTGTTTCTACATTAGCCACTGACTTCGCTCTGAAGGCATCTGATTGGCCTGACACGGAGCACCCAGTCAAAATTCTGAGTACACACCACGGCTGTGTGTGGTACAAGAAGGACAATAAATTCAAAATCCCCAAAGGTAACCCCCATTCGCTGGTGTATTAAACAAAATGTGCAAAACAAAGTTTTCCTATGCAATAGTACTGGCACCTAAATAGTACTGGCAATTTGTTTAGAATTCGGACTTGTAGCTCCTCTTTTTTCTCCCGCCGGGAAGGAGCCGCAGCCACTGGAGTGCAGCGCAGCCGAGAGCGGGAGGGAGAGGTGCGGGGCTCCCCGGCAGCAGCGGGGATTTGGCCCGCGCCGCCCACCCGGCCCCTGCCCGCTCCGCGCTGCTCCCGCCCGGACCCCACCGCGCTGCCCCGCGGGCTGCAGGGCTGGAGCAGCCTCGGCGCTGCACTCCCAGCCTCGGGCCCTCCCTGTGCAGCGGCCCGGGGGCTGGGCAGAAGCCCTCTGGCGCGGCGGGGTTTTTCAGAGCTGAGCCCCCCCCATCTCCCTCCCTCCCTTGCCAGCCCCTATTTGCCCGCCCGCCCGGTGCCCGGGTGCTGGAGCTGACTCACTAGCACCAGGATCCAGGTGCCGCCGCCGCCACCCCCTCCCTCCAGGCTGGCGCCGCCATGCAGCTGCAAGCCTGGAAGGGAGGAGGAATGCCGCGTGGTTGGGGAAGAGGCGGGGCCAGGGCGGGGATTTGGGGAGGGAGCCAATGGGGGAAGGAGGGGGCGGAGCCGGGGTGGGGGGGCGAGAGTCCCTCTGGGAGGGCAAAATTTCTTGTTTGTCCAGTTTCCTGACCAAACATCAGTCGGGACGCGGGACAAAGAAGCAAATATCGGGACAGTCCCGATAAAATTGGGACGTCTGGTCACCCTATTTGCAGAGCAGATGGACAATAAATTACGTGTGCTTAAGGACCCCGAACAACCTTGAAAGCCCTGGGACTCTATGTTCCGGGCCCGGCACGTAAGCAGTTCAAACCACAACTACCCCAGGGAGCTAAAAAGTCGTTTTGAGGGTACGCCTGAGGGTGACCTCCCAGTCTATTCTCTGGATCCGATTTTTCCCAATTTTTTGCAACCGCCTTTCCTTTTTCCTCCCAGCGTGGTCGGCGATGACTTTGGACCACTGGGTCCTCAGTACAGTGGTGCACAGCTACACCCTCCAATTTATTTCCACCCACCACCACCCCCCATCCCTCTTCAGGGACCCTTCTCACGAGAGTCTTTTCGAGTAAGAGGTTCAGGGGCTCTTACAGCTGCGGTGGTGTAGGAGGTTTCTATTCCTGGTATTTTCTGATCCCAAGGGTCTGAGGCCAAGGGTGGTCTGCGTCCCATTCTGGATCTGTGAGACCTCAACAGATACCTAAAGAAGCTAAAGTTTTGCATGGTCTTTCTGGCCTCCATTATTCCCTCCCTGGATCCAGGAGACTGGTATGCTGCCCTCGACCTGAAAGACTCATACTTTCACATAGCAATCTTCCCAGGACTCAGTTGCGTTCTCTGTTTTACGGTGGGTTCGGCCCACTACCAGTTTGCGGTCTTTCCGTTTGGCCTGGCTAAGGGTGTTTACCAAGTGCATGGCGGTAGTCGCAGCCTACCTCAGGTGTCGGGGTATCCAGATTTACCCGTACCTCGACGGCTGGCTGGTCAAAGGCAGCTTCAAGGTTCATGTCCAATGCAACGTCGCTGTACTACAAGTCACATGCCGCTCCTTGGGACTGTTGGTCAACCACAAAAAGTCCACGTTAGTGCCAGTTCAAAGGACAGAATTCATTGGGGCCGTGCTCGACTCGACCCGAGCGAGAGCGTTCCTGCCGTTAGACAGGTTTCAGGCCCTGACGGACCTCATCGCAGAAGTGTCCGCATTTCCCCTGACAATGGCCAGGGTGTTCCTGCGCCTGCTAGGCCACATGGCAGCTTGCACATACGTGGTCCGCCATGCCAGGCTCCGCATGCAGCCCCTGCAGCAATGGCTGGCGTCGACCTATTCCCAATCCAGGGACCACCTGAAAAAGATCGTCACCATTTCCCCGACGGTTCTCACCTCGCTGCAGTGGTGGATCAATCGCGAGAAGGTCCTGGAAGGAGTCCCATTCGACAGTCCTGCTCCATCTGTCGAGCTATAAGACCGTTTGGGTCTTATTTCACCAGATATAAAATGTAGATAACACTTACCTTCCTCACAGGATTGTTGTGAGGTGTAGCCCATTAATGTTTGTAAAGAGATTTGAGAATGCTAAATGGTAAGTGTTATAGAAGTATACCTCTTCCCCTATATAACGCTGTCCTCGGGAGCCAAAAAATCTTACCGCGTTATAGGTGAAACCGCATTATATCGAACTTGCTTTGACCAGCCGGAGTGCGCAGTCCCGCCCCCCTCCGGAGCACTGCTTTACTGCGTTATATCCGAATTCATATTATATCGGGTAGAGGTGTATAGATTGTTAAAAATAATGTACCTCTAATACAGTGACATTATAGCTGATGCTACTGTTTTTTCTTATTAGTACAGGGAGAATCTGCAGTATCTCTGATACCACTGTTTAATAATTGCTTGACAGACGTTGCTTCTTCTAATGGAGTAACTGGGGGCAGAATTTGGCACCAAAAGCATCTTACAGGTGACAGTGCCTGAGGGGGAAAGAACTAACCTTGAGTTTGGAGGCCTAGTAGTTTTAAAAAACCAAAACCAAACCAACTTCTCTTTTCCCCCTGTAAACTGAGGAAATGTGATCTGGAATCTTTGAGAGCCGATAAACATGAAAACTGTTCCCATTTTTGCTGTTCTGCTCAGAAACATGACATTTTAATTTTCAGTGAGAAACTTTTTAAAATAGGGTATGTATAATTATAGGGGTTTTTTTGTTGTACAGCATCTTTAGGTTGTTTTAGAAAGAAAAGTGTAAAATTAATTTATGTAAGCAAACATACAAAGAACAGGAGTACTTGTGGCACCTTAGAGACTAACACATTTATTAGAGCATAAGCTTTCGTGGGCTACAGCCCACTTCTTCGGATGCATGCTGTAGCCCACGAAAGCTTATGCTCTAATAAATTTGTTAGTCTCTAAGGTGCCACAAGTACTCCTGTTCTTTTTGCGGATACAGACTAACACGGCTGCTACTCTGAAACCATACAAAGATATGGTACTTGCCCTGAGTACTTTTATCCTGTATAAGTACTATAGCTGTTGTCACCAAAAATGTGTGCTCCTTAAGTATCCTGTAATATAAAGCAATGTTTTGCAAGGTGAAGTACAACTTTATGCTTTTCTTTAAATCTTCAGTTAAAAAGATTATATTGAGTAAGTGTTGGAGGGCTAAAATTTCTATGGTGATAACTTAATACAGATAAAAATACCATCTCTGAATAACCATTTATATGTAGTTCATAGAAAATTAACTGGGGATAAGAAATGGTTTGGAGAAAAAAATACTTACATGTTTGAAGCTGCCATTGTTTCTACAGTTGCTCATGTCAACCTTTTTCAAATTTCAGCTTACATACGTTTCCATCTGATCTCCCCACTGATACAGCAGTCTGCAAAGAGGTAAAGATTGATCTTATCTGTCTTACAGAACAAGATACAACTATAATTGTAGTATAGTATTATCAGTTAAAATTCCTCTGCAGGTTTAAAAAACAACAACCCATAGATCTTCCTTTGAATGAAACAAACCTCAAGATCATAGAAATCACAGAAATGTAGGGCTGGAAGGGACCTCAAGAGGTCATCTTGTCCATCCCTGGTGCTGAGGCTAGATTAAGTATACCTAGATCATACCTGACAGGTGTTTGTCTAATCTGTTCATAAAACCTCCAATGATGGGGATTCCACAACCTCCCTTGGTAATTTATTCCAGGATTTAACTATTCTTATGGTGACAATGCTTTTCCTAATATCCAGCCTAAATCTTCCTTGCTGAAAATTAAGCCAATTAGTATTTGTCCTACTCTCGGTGGACATGGAAAACAATTGGTCACCGTCATCTTTATAACAACCTTTTACATATTTGAAATCTGTTATCATGTCTTCTTTATCCTTTTCTTCTCTGAACTAAACATGCCCAATTCTTTCAACCTTTCCTTGTAGGTCATGTTTTCTAAACCTACATTTTTGTTCTTCTCCTCTGGAGTTTATGATTCTGTACATATTAATTCTCCATTATAGCACTTCCAATGCTAAATAAAACTGTGAGTCTCCCAAATGCCTTTACATAAATAGCATTAACACGTAATTTTCTGTATTAACACCCTAATATTCAACAAACAAATTTTACTGAAAGCTGTCATGTTGCCTAAAAAAATCCATTATTTATACCAGTTAGGTTTTAACCCACATATCCTGCAGTAGTCAGGTTGATTGTTATACTATCCTGAAATACTTTGTAATTTGAATAAGTTTTTCTTTTGATCTAAAAAGATTTTAAATTTAATCCCCAAAAAACTACTAAGTAGTTTTGTGTGCTTGCTGAATAAAGAGAAATACAGAACCCCGTGTTTCAGGATTTTGCTTTACCCAGGGGAAAAAATCTCTGTAGAAAAATAAATGTTTTTGTACTGTGTTTTACATTCTAAATTTTAAATGTTTTTAGCTGCCCAGTGAAATAGTTTATTTCTATTGGACACTTTTTTTATCTGTGTACTCTCAAACCTATTGACTTTAAGGCTGTTTCTTTTCACTCTCCCTTATTGATTCCCACCCTCACTTTCCTCATTCATACAGTGTGGTACTTTTTGAGACTTTTGTAAATATCCTTTCTCACAACCTTGCTGAACCGGCATATGAAGCCGATGTTGCTCAGTTGGAATATAAACTGGTATCTGGAGAGCATGGTTTGGTCATTCGAGTGAAAGGATTCAATCATAAACTACCTGTAAGTACCACTGCTATGTCCTCCTTACTACACACCAACTAGCCTTTTGCTGAATGTCACTTTCTAAACAACTCAAAGGCCTGAAATATTGGTGTCTTAATTTCAATTAATCTATTAATGGTTTTGCAACTGTTTATTGATGCATTCAGTTATCTCATGGACTTCCTGCTGAGTCGCTCAGAAACCAGCAGGATCAGTGAGTGCAGAGTTGCAGGTTAGCAGGGAGACATTGTGACAAAGATTGATAATGAGTGAGTAGGAAGGGAGAAAGAACTAGTCTCTTTGGTGCATTGGGACATGAAAATCCAATTAAAAGAATCTGAAAGTAACAAAATCTGACATACTTTATTTTATCTTAACCAAAATTTTAAAAAAGATTATTTTTTAATTGCATGGAGTGATTAGGATATCTTTGTCATGTAATAGCAAACTAACAATGAATCAGGAAATTGCCATCTTTGCTCTCTGAGATATATGGAGCTTGAGACAGGAGAAGGGCAGCTGAGCATGTGAACACAATAAAGAGGCAGAAGTATTTTAAATGTTTTGTAAGAAAAGTTGTCGTTTTGAAAGGTGCCTCACAGTTGTTTAATATTTATATACCATACCAAATAACAGAAAATATGATGTAGACATTAAACCTCTACCTTCTTTATTGTATGCATTTGCGCGCACACACACACTCAGCTTTCCTTAAAAATATTTGAATGTTTGTTTATTTAATAGATATGTGATTATATCCCATTATGTAATGCCTTAGAACTCTTATTGAAAAGATATATACTTTGTGTTTTTCAAATAGCTAAGTATGCAGATGTGAAGAACTTTAACTTCTAATTTTCTTCACGTTAAAGCACTGGATATGTGGAGTTATAAACAACCTTAATTATAATTTAAGTTTTCATAGCTTTTTGTAAATACTGACCATGTCTTTTTGTGATGTGTGTGTAAATGTAATCGTATTAATATCTTTTGGGATGAGGTTTTTTTTTAAAGGTATGTGCCCAGTGATAAAGTCTGAAGGCCATGGAGATTTGGGGGAGAAAATTAGAAGGGGCGACTCCACTAGGGGGACTGCAGTAGGAGCACAGCTGGTGCACTCCTCAAACAGCTGTGGCTTCTGCTTAGCCCCTCCAGACAAAGATGGACAAGATGCAAGTTCCCCTCTGGTTGTAGGAGTGTCCTAGAGACCAAGGCAAATGGTGAGGGGGATCTGTGGGGAGGTATAGCTACCCCATGTCACGTGAAGTTGGAGTGGGAGGCAAAGAACACAACATAGAAGAGAGCAAGAAGGGTGAGCTACCATCAGGAGAGGAGCAGATCTGGGTCAAGGGAGGAGCATGGTGATGCATCGGCTGGTGGGCAACAGGCAATGCCTGGTAGGCTGCATGGGCATATCAGTTGCTGGCTGCTGCCGCCGCCATTGCCCGGCTAAGTATCGCTCCTGTTGTCAACAGGTGTATTCTCAACTGCTCTTCTGTTGCACCCGCTGGTGCCTGTGACTGTTGCTGATTTGCTCAATATGACAGGGTTCCCTAGCCACATGAAGAATCTTTGATATAGGATGAACTCCACCAACCGGTGATGTAGAAGATCAGTTGCAAATGCAGCCGCTTATGACAGGATCCTTACATATTGAAACAATTATTTTCTTGGTAATGTTAACAGTAGTTCCAGCTCCCATGATTTTTTTCTTTTTGTGCATGATGGGATTTCACAAGGTGCTGGAGTTTGTCTTGTGATAACCTCCAGCCCCCTCATGAAGTTCAGCCTGCCAAAAGCGGACAGAATCTCTTTCCTCCACTTGCCATTCTCACAGGGATGGAGGAGGGAGCAAAGAGTCCAGCAGCTCAGTGCAGTTCTGCTCCCGCCTTCCTGGTCCACTCTGCCTGCCATTCTCACCGGAGGGGTGGAGAAGAAGGGAGCAAAGAGCCAAGCAGCTCAGGGCAGCTCTGGCTCCTCCCCTTGCTCCCCTTCTGTAAGAAAAATGGACAGGACAGCACCTTTGCTCCTCCTTCCCCCTCTTTCCGCCCCCCACTGCACCCGGCCTGGGAAGGGCAGAAGGGGGTAAAGAACCCTGGAGCTTGCCCCCCTTAGTCTGCAAAGGGGAAGATGGAACCCTGCTACAGCTCCCCCCCTCCACCCCAGGCCTGGGAGAGGAGGGTGAAAACCCTAGGAGGAGCAAAAGTGGTGGTGGGCAATGGGTTGTGGCGGCTGAACTGAGGAGGCTGGGGACTGATGGGGGGGTTGAACTTGGTGGGGACAGAACTAATGGGGAGATGGGGGAAAGGATTAATTGCTGGGCAGGGGATGGGCGGACGTGGGGTGAGAGCTCCTGCAGCAAGGGCCAAAATCACCTTACCCTATACATTTGCAAGAGTGGGCAACACTAATTCTCTCTCTTACATGCACACACTCGCTGTAGCTGAGGTCTGGCCTGTCATGAGTAATTAATATGTGAAGGGAGGCCTCATTTCTTGGAGGATAGAGTTAGGAAGGTAAACAGATCATTAGGCTGAAAACAGAATGTACTAAATAAGATCAGTAACTAGGTTAGTAGGCTAAGACGACAGAATATCTGATCCAGCTAAGGTAAGAGGGAGAACACCCAGGAAACCATTTACTAACACTGGAAAAGATAAGTTAGGAATGTAGAGAGAAGGTAAAGAGTAGTTCGAGTGTGGAAAATGCATTACAGAGCATGCTGCACATGGATTGGTTCCTGAAAAGTAACCAAGTCAATCCCAAAATGTGTGATGCAATGTAATGTGTAAATGTATATAAAGAAAGAGGTTTTCTGTGTAACATTGGATGCTTGGTACTCCCTATACCCACACTGTACACTTGAGTCTGATCAACTCAGTGTAGCTTTGTTGTACGCCAAATAAAGGAACCTGACTGACGAAATCTAGAGTCAAATAAAGTTTTTTGGATCCCAAAGAACTGGATGAAGTGTTCTCCCAGAATTGAACAAGGTGTTCTGGATAAACTGAGTGGAAAAGGTCTTGAAGGGAAAATGCATTCATGCACACAGGCGCATGAGCGCACATGGCAGGGGGAATTCAAAACTCAAAGGACAGACCTAAAAAACACAATGTAATCTTTTTTTAAAAACTCAGGATTTTTTGAGCCAATCTCATGATTTTTGTGTGTCTGTCTCATGAGTTTTGATCTCTTGAAGTTGGCAATACTGCATTAATTAACCTAAATTACAAACACAGCAGTCAAAATATTTGTGCAGTGTGGGTGAGTTTGACACTAGGAGAACCTTTCATTTCCTGAGTTTTATGCATTTAATTTATAACATTGCAATAAAACAAACTGTTAATGCATTTTACATTATTAAAAATTAGCTATATAAGAAATAGTTAATTTTCTTTTAACCGATTTAACAAAATTCTTCATTGATCTGAATGCTATGAGCATGAGATGTCCTGGCAATTGGTAGCTTATTCTTAACCAATTAATGTATTTATTCAGGACCTTATTAGAATGTTTAATAGATCTATACAGTGCAGTTCATGTTGATCCATGGATTATTAGATGAGTCTCCTTTTTATATAAAATATAATTCAAAATAATCCTCTTTGGCAAAAAATATTCTTCTATTTGGTAAAAATGGTTCAGAAAACAATATTTTATTTTCTTTCCAGCTGCTATTTCAGCTCATCATTGACCAGTTGTCTGACTTCAGTTTTACTCCAGCGGTTTTTGAGATGATAACAGAGCAGCTAAAAAAGACTTACTTTAATATTCTGATCAAGCCAGAGATACTGGCCAAGTGAGTGTCTGTGAGAAGGCTAATTAGATAGACTGGTTGTTGGGTGGAGGTACACACGGAGTGGAATCTTCTCTGCTTTAACTGTATTGTCATTGTAGCAGCTGCAGATATTTCCTTTCTTCCAATCACAAATTACTATGCAGTAGTATTCTTTCAGTGAATATAATGAATCCCTGCATAATATTTAAATACTTAGAGCACAATACTTAAATTGTCGCCTACTTCTGCTTTGTAATAAGTGTCTGGTGCTACTAATCAAATGCCAAAACAGAGGTGTTTTACTTATGTATATAAGGCTGTGTATTGGGCAGATTACAAAGTAATTACTATACACCAGGGTAAAGGAAGAGAGAGTGTTACTGGTTTGGAAGGGATATGTGAACTATTTTCTGGATTTCTCAGTGACACACTGAGGGCCTGGCTGAAGAGTGTTGGAAATCTATTTTTTTATGCTTATGGGGATTATATAAAAAGCTGGAACTGATTAACTGGCAGGAGGAAAAATAATTCTTACAATAAAAGTCTAATAAACATTGATACTATTTTTGTAAACTGCCACAGCTAAAACTCTTGATATGCATGAGACAATGGTGTAGGAAGCACGTGTTAAGGTTTATTAGGAACATTTTGGGAAAGGAAGAGCTTATACAGGAAGGATGGACTCCACCTAAACCAAAATGGAACTTGTCAGATTGCTGACAAGTAAAATTAAAAAGATTGTAGAGGAGTTTTAAAACTAAGGGCTGGGGGAAAGCCAGCAATTTTGGAGGAGCACATGGTTCAGAAAGAGACATCCCTTAAGGAAGGATTTATTAATGGGGATTCTCTATTTCCTACTAAGAAGGTGAGGATGGAAGTTGATAAAGTACAGGTAGGAACTGAAGAGAAACAGTGAAATGACAGTATCAGAGGGGTAGCCGTGTTAGTCTGGATCTGTAAAAAGCGACAAAGAGTCCTGTGGCACCTTATCGACTAACAGACGTATTGGAGCATAAGCTTTCGTGGGTGAATAAGAGTTTCATTCAATTCCATCACATAGTGGTAGACAGCTAAAATTTTGTAAGTGCTTGTATACAAATTCTAGACATCTAAATACTAAGATCGCTGAACTTGAGTGCCCTGTATTAAATGAGTATATTGATATAATTGTCATCTCAGAAACTTGGTGGAATGATGATAATCAATGGGACATCATAATACCACAGTACAAAATATATAGGAATGACAGAGTGGGTTGTGCTGGTTAGGGAGTGGCACTATATGTGAAAGAAAGGATAGAGTCAAATATAATAAAAATCTTCTGTGAATCAAACTGTACCATGGAATCTCTATGGGTAGAAATTCCATACTTGAATAATAAAAATATAGCAATATGAATATACTACCGGCCACCTGACCAGGATAGTGATTGTGAAATGCTCAGGGAGATAAGAAAGGCTATAAAAATAAAAAACTCAATAATAATGGGGTATTTTAAGTATCCCCATATTGACTGGGTACATATCACCTCCAGATGAGATGCAGAAATAAAGCTTCTTGACACCATAAATGACTGCTTCTTGGAGCAGATAGTCCTGGAACCCACAAGGGGAGAGGCAATTTTTGATTTAGTTCTAAGTGGCACACAGGATCTGGTCCAAGAGGTGAATATAGCTGAACCTCTTGGTAATAGCAACTATAGTGGAATTAAATTTAACATTTGTGTATGGGGGGAAATGCCAAAGAAACCCACCACAGTATCATTTAACTTTAGAAAGGAGAACTACATAGAAATGAGGAAGCTAGTTAAATGGAAGTTGAAAGGTACAGTCACAAAAGTGAAAACACCATAATAGAGGCTCAAATTAAATGTATACCCCAAATTAAAATTAAAAAACATAGTAAGAGGACCAAAAAAGTGCTACCATGGCTAAACAACAAAGTAAAAGAAGCGGTTAGAGGCCAAAAGGCATCTGTTAAAAATTGGAAGTCAAATCCTACTGAGGAAAATAAAAAGGAGCATAAATTCTCACATATCAAGTGTAAACGTACAGTTAGGCAGGCCAAAAAAGAATTTGAAGAGCAGCTACCCAAAGATTCAAAAATTAAAAGTAATTTTTTTTTAAAGTACTCCAATAGCAGGAAGCCTGCCAAGCAATCAGTGGGGCTACTGAATGATCACGGTGCTAAAGGAGCACTCAAGGAAGATAAGGCCATTGTGGAGAAGCTAAATTAATTCTTTGCATCGTTCTTCACTACAGAGGTGTGAGGGAAGTTCCCACACCTAAGTCATTCTTTTTCGGTGACAAATCTGAGAAACTGTCCCAGATTGAGATGTTAGTAGAGGAGGTTTTGAAACAAATTGATAAAGTAAACAGTAAAAAGACACCAGGACAAGATGGTATTCACCCAAGAGTTCTGAAGGAACTCACATATGAAATTGCAGAACTGCTAAGTGTGGTATGTAACCTATCTTTTAAATCAGCTTCTGTACCAGATGACTGAAGGATTGCTAATAAAAAAAAGGGTTCCAGAGGTGATCCTGGCAATTACAGGCCAGTAAACCTAACTTCAGTACCAGGTAAATTGATTAAAACTATAGTAAATAACAGAATTATCAGACACCTAGATGAACTGGATTGGTTGGGGAAGAGTCAACACAGCTTTTGAACAGGGAAATCATGCCTCACCAATTTATCAGAATTCTTGGAGGGGGTCAACAAACATCTGGACAAGGTGATCCAGTGGAGTGTACTTGGCCTGTCAGAAAGCCTTTGACAAAATCCCTTACCAGAGGTTCTTAAACAAAGTAATCAGTCCTGGGATAAGAGGGAACGTCCTCTCATGGATCAGTAAATGGTTAAAAGATAGGAAACAAAAGGTAGGAATAAATGGTCAGTTTTCAAAATGGAGAGAGGTAGATAGCGGTATCCTCCAGGGATCTGTACCAGGACCAGTGCTGTTCAACATATTCATAAATGATCTGGAAAAAGGGGTAAACAGTGAGGTGCCAAAATTTGCAGACGGCACAAAATTATTCAAGATAGCTAAATCCAAAGCAGATTGCAAAGAGTTACAAAGGAATCTCACAAAACTGGGTGACTGGGCAACAGAATGGTAGATGAAATTCAGTGTTGATAAATGGAAAGTAATGCACATTGGAAAACATAATCCCAACTATTCATACAAAATGATGGGATCTAAATTAGCTGTTTTCAAGAAACAGATCTTGGAGTCATTATAGATGGTTCTCTGAAAACATCCTCTAAGTGTGTAGCAGCAGTCAAAAAAGCTAACATAATGTTAGGAATTATTAGGAAGGGGATAGAAATAAGACAGAAAATATCATAATGCAACTATATCAATCCATGGTATGCCCACACTTTGAATACTGAGTGCAGTTCTGGCCACCCCATCTCTGGAGTGGCATGTGGAATACTGTGCCATGTGGGCGCCACTCCAGAGGGCGCCAGAGCCCGTCCCCTACGGATACTGCTGAGGGAAAAAGGTCTGGCACCGGTGCATGTGGCGAGCACACACACCTAATATGGAATGGACATGAGCAACACATCTCGAAGAACACCAGTTACTGAAAAGGGAACTGTCTTTGCTTTCACCTAAAACTCCTTTTTCTTTTTTAGATCTCAAGCACACCCATACATATGTTGTTGCAGTAGGTTTAGAGCATCTCAAAATATTTTTATTTACCTAAATCTAAGAGATAGTTTTGAGGAATCAGCGGCTAGGCTTCAGGGGGGCTCCATCTTCTATATAGCTGCTGGTGAACTTAGATATCAGATCCTTGCCCAAAGAAAACTTCCTCAAACTGCTCCAAAGTACCCTTTCTACTACATTTTTTATAAATTTTCTCCAGACAAAGCACATAATTCATAATAGCCTCTAACAGTCTAACAATTTCCCTAGTAACAGACAATAACAGTTCATTATTCTCCTTAGCAGCAAAGCATTTCTAATAATAATAAACTTCCAAATTAGAGGCACCTAAAACCAAGGTCTTTGTCTAAACATTCCCCCTATTTTAATGGGACCTTCACTTCTTGTCCCAACCTCCCATTCTGATAGAAAAACTGCAAACGTGCAGCTATTTGGCTTTGCCTCTCAGGGCCTAAGATTATCCTAGCTCTGTGATGTTTGGTTTTCAGCTGACAGTGGCTGAACACACAAGATGGCTGACTACAGTACTATCAAATTCTGGGGTACACGCAGGAATATCAAATTCAGGAGTATAAAACTGGCATGGCCCCACCGCCCTTCAGTTCCTTCTAACCACTGAAGATGGAGCAAGCTTGGATCACATGCAATTTCCTGACACTTTCCTCATCAATTTTTCAGGTTTTTTTCTGCCCCTTGGAGGCAAATGTTCTTTATAGTTAGATTGTCATTTAATCACATTTTTTAAAAGAATAAAAAAAGGAGAGTTCCGAGGACTGCTTCATTCACCCCTCCTGATGTGGGAGGCTCCTCAGACGTAGTTGGTTAAGCTAATACTGCATATGTTCAGTGTCAACTTTGAAGATTTTTCCAAAGCTGCAAAATCCATTTCTTCTTCCAGGAGTGTCTAGGGTTACCATATTAAAAAAATAAAAAAAGAGGACACTCCACGGGGCCCTGGCCCCGCCCCTTTCCCACCCCCGCCCCAACTCCACCCCTTCCCCGCCCCTTACCCAAAGTCCCCGCCCTAACTCCCCCTCCTCCCTCCCAGCCACGCGAAACGGGCTGCCCGAGCGCTACCGGCTTCACGGTTTGCCGGGCAGCCCCCAGACCCTGCGCCCCCGGCCGGCGCTTCCCCAGCGCAGCTGGAGCCCGGGAGGGGAAGCGCCCAGCCGGGGGCCCAGGGTCTGGAGGCTGCCCAGCAAACCATGAAGCCGGTAGCCCCCAT